GAAAGTGACAGGCAGTTCTGGTCTGTCCGACGATACTATTTCCTCCTTGCAGGACGACAATGGACCACAAAGCAGCTAGACGGGACATCGGCACTGGTCTTGGCAGTGTGCTTTGTTCAAAGCGCTTGTATGCTAACTGTCCGTTACCATCCTTCAGCTCATGACAACTTGCAACGCTGCTTACATTGGCAGCGCCGTGGCGCATCTTTTTCGGGAACAAGGGATGGCAAGCAACAGGGGCACCTCTCAACCCGATCTGGTGGACTTCGGAGAGTAAGACCCCTGCGGCCTGAATCGCAATGCTGCGGGTGGTGAGTGGGTGTCGTCCGAGAGAGATTGTGGAGGCTGGTGGTGTTTAGACGTCAAGTTGTCGTATGGTTCCCAACGGGCAAGCGTGGCTTCGACAATGTGTATATAAATCCCCGGCCCCTCGTCGTCATTTCACTCGAGATCTCATTCATCACCAGTAGCCGCCTGTCTCAGCATCCTGAATAAGGAGTGATTGGCTTACACCAGCTTCTCTTGTCTCAGACCTTCTCCAGTATCATCACAATGGCCTTCTCCCGGTCCCTCGTGGCCGCGGTTGCCACGTTCTCGTTTGTGAAATCCACACAGGCATGGAACGTGGAGCTGCCTCCTTGCTTGGATGAATTCAAGCCCTTTGTCGCTTCCGGTTGTTTCCAAGATGGCACACCTGGTACCCCTCAAGCTCTCATCTTCCGCTCATCTTTGTCCTCTGACAACATGACTGTTGAGCAGTGCGTTGCTGACTGTAAAGGTATGTTTGTTGCCTTCGACTTCATCTGACGTGGGACTAACACTCTTCTTAGGCAACGGCTTCCGTTATGCTGGCCTCGAGTATTATGGCGTCTGCTTCTGCGGCAACACTGTAGATGGTCCTCAGGTTGATGACTCTCAGTGTACTTTTCCCTGCAACGGCGACAAGTCCGAGACATGTGGAGGAAACAATGTCCTCTCTGTCTGGCAAGATCCAACATTCCCCACCAAGGACGTCACCATCGGCGACTACAAGGCTTCTGGTTGTTTCACTGATAATTCGCAACTGGGACGTACCCTTTCCTGGTCCGCTGATGTCGATTCATCCACCTTCACCACTGAGAGCTGCTTGGCTGCCTGCGAGAAAGAAGGCTTCCCATTGGCCGGAACTGAGTTTGGAGGCGAGTGCTGGTGCGGCAATGTTCTTGCGAATAACACTGCCAAGGTAGATGATTCGCAATGCAATTTTGCTTGCAACGGAAACTCGTCGGAAACATGTGGCGGAAGAGGCCTCTTGAACTTGTACATTGCCAAGGATCTGGAGTCCTTGGAGCCCTGCGGCTACATTCCTCCCAGCTCCACGGTTCCTCCTCCGCCTCCTACCTCCACGAGTTATCCTCCTCCGCCTCCTACCTCCACGAGTTATCCTCCTCCTCCTCCCAGCTCCACGAGTTCTCCCCCTCCCCCTCCTCCCACCACGACTACCTGCACGACCACCACCAAGAGCACCAGCACCACGACCACCAGCTCCGTGTGTACAGCCACCGTCACCACTCCTCCCACTTGCGAGTACAAGTGTGGCAAGTGGTGTTTCCCTCCTCTGCCTGATTGGGGTAACGAGAAGGATTGCTTGAAGGCCTACGCTACTTGTGTAGCCGGCACCGCCTCTTGTTTCATTCAAGCTGGATTCCCCGATGCTCTCCAGTGCTTCAACTTTGGCGAGTGGTGCGGCAACATTCAGAAGTACTGCGGCTCGACGTGCAAGTACGGCAAGTGCTCCAAGGGCGATTGTTGGAATCACAACCCCGGCCAGGGCGGTAGCCTTCCCAAGACGTCTACTACCGTCATTCCTTGCCCTGTCACCACTACATCCAAGCCTCCGGCTACCACGACAAAGCCCTCCACCTGCCCTCCTCCTCCTACCAACATTTGCACACAGCCCTCCAACTCTAAGTACGGATATGGCCCAGGCAAGCCTGTCGGTGGAATCGATCTGCCCATTGTTAGCTGCAATGACATCTACAGCGATTGGCGCAACAACCCCTTTAAGCTGTATATTGACCAGAACAGCCGCAACTGCCCCTCATATCCCCCTTCACGCTGCGGCAATGCTTGCGCCGATGCCTGCAAGGAGCAGTACGACCAGTGCACAAACGTCTACCAGAAGGGCTGCCAGGATGGCTCCAGCGGCCGGTGGAAGCGTAACGAGGAGACCAAGCGCTTGCTCGGCATCAGCCAGTTCACCCAGAACTGGGGCTTTGGAGATAACACTCCTTCCAACGCGGCCAAGAAGTGCCAGGCCCAGTATTCTGACTGCTTGGCCGTTAACAAGAATGTCAACCCCAAGCAGCAGTGCAAGACTTGGTGCTATTAAAAGCGTATTTCTTTGGGTAAAAAGCCTGGCGAGGCATGGTGTATATCATACAGGGAATAAAGGGATTCGGATTTGGGACAAAGGGTTCATAGCGCCGTCGATAATGACAATTGGCTGATGCCGTAGATATCCTGACTTCTTGGGCTTCTCTATTGAAGCTTGGAGGTTGAAAGAATTGAAAAAATTGGATTTAAAAATAGTTTCCGTGATCAATTATGATAGTCGTGGAGCACAGATGTCTCAGAATCATCGGCTTACACAGGCAGGAGCACTAGATTCCGTCCGACAGAAGGGCAACAGCCGAGTGAATGACATCGTCCCGCGTTTTGTGATTGGTCTTTGACGACTTTGTTCACGTGCCACGGACAGAGTTTGTCGTCATTAGGTGCGGAAGGTAGCATGATGGGAAGAGCATTCGTTCGTTCTTGCAATTTGGGTTTTGGATAAGTGTCAAAATTCACGGATAGAAATTATATACAATATCACACTGCTACATATAGCGATCTAGACAAGAAGACATTGGTGATATTTTAGCTGGAAGACACCTGTGCATGATATCTGTCGTGCTGTCATACATACATCACCAGTACTCGCCGCCTGCAGCTCCAGCTCAGCAGTTCCGGGCAAACCATTGGATGTAGATAGGCAGCATTAGCATTGCCGAATAGAGACTTTATAGACTACCAATCTTCCCCCACGGATATTATATATCCGACGGAGCGCAGATATCCACAGCTTCTGATCTAGTTTTGATTTGAGGAAGAGTAGATCTTGGACACGCGTACTCCGTGGTACAATATCAATGTAACTGATACAAGCTGATCTCCGAAATGCCCCTCATTAGCCGATCGATATCACCATAGCATTTCAACTTCGATACAACTCCGCCCGCGAATAGATTTCGAATCTACATTTACCCTGTACTAGATAGCCACTTCACGTGGCATTATTCCTAAATTATCGCCTCGCTTCTTCTCAATCCCTCGCAAAGACATCGCGTTCTGTATAACCCATCTCAAGATTTGTCACAGATGCCGGATCGCACTCCCCTTTCAGCCAAATAGCCGTGAAATCGTGGATCTCAAAAAGCAACAATTTGCGGCAAACGCCCATATCCACAAGCGAGCCGCCGCTCAAACCCCACATCAGTGCAACGCCAATTCCATTAGCACGCGGCTTGGCCCTTTATCGCCGATGTTGAAAGTGTTGGTCAATGTCTCCTAAGCGGAAGATGGGGGGGTTTTTGCTATCCGTCTAGCCGCACGAGTTGCCAAGAAGCTGCTGCAGTTGCTCTATCAGGTACCGGCAGTGGTGGGGAGGGTCGGAGTAATGATGCTAGCTCAGGACGGGGCCAACTAGAGCGGCTCTCGCTGTCCACAGCCAAATTTCGCACTACCGATTACGAGTACTCAAGTCTTTTCCAACTGAAGCCAACGCTGAGCTTTTTGTTTACTTATTTATTCATCTCTTGTCCCTGTCACCGTTGTTTCCGGGCACTCTCGTCTTATTTTCTAACCCTCTTCTTTTTCTGATTTTTTCTGCGTCTTTGTTCAGAGATCAAAGATGGGCAGTTCATCCGGTTTGCTGGCCACGCTTGGCGTTGGTGACCCATCACCGGCCGAGTGGTGCCAAATCTTCTTCATTGTCAGTGCGGCCAGCATTTTCATGCTCGCAGCAGTCCCGGAGCATATGCGCAGGGCCTTGCTAGACTACGGTGCCAGGAGGGCAAAGCCCAGTCAACCTTCCGAGAAATCCAAGGCTCCGGAACCCAATCAAGGGGTCTTGGACGTCCTGACAAGCTATGGCCAGGTACCTCATTCATGGTTCATACACTTCTACATCACATCGCTGTCATGGTCTATTTTCTGGGGCTATCAGTACTTGTCCAAGGGGTCGTTGATGCGGACCGTGGCCGAGATGCAGCACTCGTCTGCAGTCAAAAGTCAAACACCGGAGGTTGATCTTACCGGGACGCTGGTGGCGTGGATGTTGATGAGCTCCCAGGGAGCAAGAAGGCTTCTTGAGTGTCTCTTTGTCACTAAGCCGGGATCATCTCCAATGTGGTTTGTCCACTGGGCTCTTGGTCTGTCCTACTACACGGCATTGGGTGTCTCCGTCTGGATTCAGGGCTCAGGTTCGTTTAATGGGCTCTGTCCCTACTCTAGTTGAATGGTCAACATGGAAGTGAAACTGACGGGGCTTTACAGGAGCAATTCTTCAATCGTGGGAGCACCCGCAGCTAATTCACTTCACACCACAAGTTATAATTGGGGCGGCAGTCTCTGGATGGGCAGGTGCTCAGCAGCACCAATGCCACAGCTACTTGGCAGGACTCAAGAAATATACGCTTCCCAACGAGGGCTGGTTCAAATACTTCATTTGCCCCCATTACACATTCGAATGCCTACTCTACTTGAGCCTTTCCGTCGTTGCGGCACCGACAGGATGCATCTTGAACAGACCAGTCCTGTGCTCATTGATCTTCGTCTTGGCAAATCTCGGCGCGACGGCATATGGAACAAAAGCTTGGTATGCCAGCAAATTCGGGGCGGACAAGTTGGTGGGGAAATGGATCATGATCCCCTTTGTATTCTAGGCTAGTTGGCGCATCGAGCATCGAGCGTACTTTTTATCTCTTGTTGAAAAGACCTAGTTTGGCTCCGACTTTGGAAACTTTGAGGACGTCGCGATATGTGAGACTGGTGCGGGTCTGCCTTGGATTTCGACCGCTGGCAAACGCCTCGGCATCTCGAAGCAGGGTCCAGTTCACAATCGTATCGGCGGATAGATCAAGGTCCTCCTTAATGTCGGATATCCCATGCAGATAGTCTGTGTAGAGAGTGTCTGTAGTGATGAGAAGACTACGAGGTTCTTGGATAATGCGCCAGGCAGGCTCGGGATCAAGGGCACCGTCCTCTTTGCTGCGGTACAGATTCAGGCAGAGGCTTGCGCCGAGGCTGACGGTACACACAACTGGCCAGTACGCAGCGCCATCCTAGGGTGGATGAGCATTTCGAAGCTGCCAAGGATCATCTACTTTGCCATAATACTTAACTTATGCGGCATGATACCAATACCGGGAGGATATTCGTTGATGAGGACATGATTCGGGCGCTGGTGGGGGCTCTCGGCGAAGATGTGTCTGACACCGTCGCCTTGGCCGTCATCGGAGAGCGGGAGAGACAGTAAGTGCGATATTACGGGTGTTTCAAGCCAGGAAGGCAGCGGCGCATCGAGGAGCTTGTTCTGGACGAGATCGGACGGCCAAGTCTGTAGACGTCGATGCGTGAGCTGTTTCCATCGCGGACGAGGAGCAGCGGCGATCTGGGTGCGGCGTCATCAGCGAGGTTGCACCATAGCACCCGTCATGGCAGCAGCACAACACGCACTCTATCAAGAATCAAGCGCTCTTCTTCCTCGCTGATAAAGTTGGGCAAATAATAAGCCGTCGACGGAAGCGAAGTGATTCTGGCAGCTTCGAGAGAAGAGGGAAGCCACGCGTCGCCGATGCCTCGGGCTGCCATCATAGGCAGGACTCGGGACTCGTGCAGGCAAAATGTCGAGCAGGAGGAGAAGCTGCCTTGAGCTGCGCCAAGAAACCCCCCCCAATGAGCGAGACAGCCTGTTCGGAAGAAGAGTCGCGAGGGGATGGACTGGCTTGACTGGGAGAAGATCGAATCGAATGGTCGTAAGAGGGGACGATGGGGTGATGAGCCAGCGAATAGCCACATCGAGTTAGGGGGCTGCAGCGCCTGTTTGCTCCCTCGCAGCAGAACGGATGCCGCTTAGGGTTAGCCGGGCAGAATTAGTCCCGTGTAGGTGTAGGTTGTGCAAAGTTCAAGCAATTGCACGAATGTTGTTTATCGGCGTGCAGCGTTTGGCGTCAAATCGCGTTGAGCCGCCTCCGGGCAGTCGGACGCCGCCAGGCTCTCCATGCTGTACTGGTGCTATCTGGTGCACCGCTGCTGGACTGATGGGATCAATGGATCCATGGATGCGTGCTGCAGGTCGCACCAACGAGAGCAGGGAAAGAAAAAAGAGCGCATTTGGTCCATTGCAGCCACGGCACAGCGCGGTCGGATGCGTGCATGCGTGTGAATATGGGCGGGCAAGGATGCCGTCTCTCTCACTCTCTCTTGTTCCTTTTCTTTTTCTTCCTGTCCAAGAGGCGAGACCGCCCGTATTTCAAGCCCAGACAACCCGAGGTGGCCTCCCAGGACTGCCGATGCCGCCTGCAGCCGTGATTGGCAGACGGCGGGGACCGCTGCAGCACCAATGCGTGAGGGCCTTTTGGGGGGGAGTTTTAGAGGGTGGCAACGCGGGATGGCAGCTAGACAGGGCTTGACAGGGTTTTTGTTTAGGCTGCGACTCCGCTGTTTCGGCCGCACAACTGCACCGCGAAGGCGCTGCGCCGGCTGGAGCGGCTTGGGGCGACGGCCAATCAGGAGGCGGCAGCCTAGCCTAGCGCTGCTGGCTGAGTTTCGCACCAAGTCCCGTTTTCAGGCTCTTAGTCTGCGGTGTGTGTTGTCTGGTCGGGTCTGTTGTAGTCATGATGTTGTATGTATGTTGTCTGGTGTGCTTCATTCAATGTTGATGTTGCTCGTGCTTGTACTAGCTGCGTTGTTCCCTCTAGCCTGCTCCTTCTCCCGGCACGCGCTGGCCCTCCGTGATTGACTCGACGCTCTGCCGGCTCGTACCAGCACGTCTTACTCGTGGCGGTAGCAGTACCTCGCTCTGCCGCTGTTGCTGGTAGCACCGCATCGATGCCTGTACATGTTCCGCTACCAGTCGCGACCGCCCACCCCAGCTCCCAGCCCCCGGCAGTTTCGTGCTATTTTCCCAGCTCTCGAGCCCGCTAAACTGCTCCGTACTCCGTGCCCTGGGCAGCACTACGGTGAACACGCTTCGATTGAAGGTTGAAACTCCAGTCTTTCTGCTTTCTTGAAAAAAAAAAAAAAAGCATCGACTCATTCCCACGCCGCCTGTTTTCGCCGCCCGCCCCATCGGCCCTCATCGTAGCAGATATAATTCCTCTTTCTCCTTCACATTGTTTATCCCCCCCAGGCGGCCGCTTCCGTGCCGGCATACTGTAACGAGCTTCGCCACTTTGCCAGCTGCTGTCGTGCCTAAAATCCCCCGGCTGTCCAATCCATCTCCGCAAGAGGCCATTGCCAGCAGCTCTGACGTGGCGGTCGACGTGACCAGATCAATCGGCCTCTTGCCCGGCTCGCACGCTGCCGAATCTCGTTTCATCTCCATGATGGTGGTAGCCGTTGGCAATTCTCGAAGATAAATGTCATGGACGCGCAGAATGCTGCCGAGTCCGACACGCCCAAGCATGCTGGCGCTTCCCCTCAGCAGCAAAACAAACACGAGCGCCCGCGACGAGGCTCTGGCTCCGACTCGGATCCGAAACCGCGTTCGTCTTTGAGGGCCTCGTCGCCCTCCAGGGAGCCCAAGCTGAAGACGAGGGAGTCATCGTCGCTGTCGTCGTCGACGGCCGCTCGAATCGACGACGTTGCTGGTGCCGACCGCGACTCAGACGCCGAGACGATTGTTCTGCCTGGCAAGGATGGCCATTCGCCCTCCAAGGTTCGAAAGGTGAGGCAGGAGGACAGGAGCGAGAGTGACGCCGACTCGGCCAGAGGCAACGGCCAGCCGGCTGCCAGTAACCAGGGCGACAAGAATGCAGCTGGCAACCGGCCCGTCGAGGGTGTCAAGAAACGGCTGCCGGGCCCTGTCGACAAGGACCGCCAACCTCGCAGCAAGGACGGCGCTTCGAGCGGCTTGAGTTCTGCCCCGACATCGCCTCCCCACAATCACAGCCAGCTCCGTCAACAGCTCCCGCTTCCATCTCACCGCCGTCGGCGATCTGACGCTGTCGCTGCCGCATCACCGTCAGACTCTGAGGGCACCCACGCCAAGCCAGTCTCCTCGTCCCTGCGTGACAAGCTAAAGTCTGGAGAGCGTCTGCTGCCGCACAAGCGAAAGGCTCCCAAGGCCGAGTCCGACGACGAAGCTGACCAGCGAAAGGCTCGCCGCCAGCGAACCACGAGCGTCACCCTCGACACCGGGCGGACGCTCAAGGAGACCAAGCCGGCCTCGAAGCAGTCCCATCATGACCCGAGGACTCGGACTCGTTCCATCTCTCCACACCCCCGACAGCATCGTAGAAGCGTATCGACACAGCTACCCGCCCATCATCTTTCTAGCAGCCTTAAAAAGAAGCGTTTACCTCCCCCGCTGCATTCAGCAGACTACCACTCCGACGAATCCTCGGCCAGTGGGAGCCCTCATCCTCGGAGCGCCAAGCTGCGAGGCCTTGCTACTCCCACGGTGCCCGAGTCTCATGCCTCGCCCGTGAAAATGGCACCTCACAAGAAACACCTGGATGCACACGGTCAGACTTTACTTGCCAGGGCCTGCGCACGTGGCGAATACGACAGTGCAAAGAGGAGGCTCAGTGACCGACCTGAAGACCTGAATGTAGCTGATTATGCCGGCAACACGCCTCTGCAAATCGCAGCCATTAATGGTTGCGAAGATATCGTCAAGCTTCTCATTGACGCTGGCTGCAATTTGGATTGTGTCAACTACGATAAGGACACACCTTTGCTGGATGCGGTCGATAATGGCCACGTTGCAGTTGTAAAGCTACTTTTGGACGCTGGCGTCAATCCACGAAAGGCTAATGTGAATGGGGAGGAACCTATTGATAGAGTTACGGACGATACTGAACATGGTGACGAAATCCGCGCATTACTTCTCGCGGCCAAAAAGCGACAGGGCGAAAGGCGCCGCACTTCTGAAGACCGTCATTCTCACGACTACCACGACGCAAGAGACTCCCACGCTCCCGACAGCCCTCGCCGCTCTCCAGCTACAACAATGCCAACAAATCGAAGATCAGGGACCGTTCGGTCCACCAAGACGAGGAACGACCTGCTCTACATGCCTTTGGACGACAAAACCCTCCGGCAGGCCGCTGGCCGTGGTGACGAAGAAACTGTGGCACGTATTTTACAGGTCAAGGAAAACTGCGACGACCCCGAATCCATGGTGGCTGCCGCGAGAGGAGGCCATGATCTGGTAATCCAGCTACTACTGGGCCTGGGTAGTGCCAATGCAGACCCTGCCCCGGTGAAAACGTTACAAGCAGAATTTGCAACTCCAATGCTCGCAGCTATCGGCCAAGAAAACATCAAGGTCGTCGAATTACTTTTAGAACAGCAGGAATTTGACCCCACGCGAAAATACAAAGGGGAGACGTATTATGAGATTGCCCGCCGTCGGCAAGGATCGAATTGGAAGGAAGAAGAACACATGTTGAAAAACGCGTACGACGAATATAGGCGGACGCATAAGGACTCAGCCAGGGCAAAATCGCCCTCGCGGAGAGACAGGGAAAGAGAGCGGGAGGAAAAGCGGGCTAAAAGAGAGGACGCCAAAGAAGACTCGAGACCGCCGAAACGAAGCGCTGCTAGTCCCTCTCGAGAGCCGAAGAAGCCCTCAGCCCCCAAGTCGGATGCCCCAAGGGAGAAGCGAAGGTCGGATTCTTTTACCGGCCATGGCGGCGACGATAACTCTGCAAAGAGAGGGCCTGGACGGCCACGGAAAGAAGACAACAAGGCCTCAAACGCTTCGGATCGCGAGGCGTCCCCTGCGCCACCTACTCACAAAGTGCCCAAACCGAAGCGCACCGAGTCAGATGCCACCGGTGTCTCGTCTGAAGGAGAGGCTGTTAAGCCGAGAAGGAAGCTGATATCCAAAGGCGAATTGCGAGACGAGCGGGAAAGGCAAAAACGTGGCAGCTTGGCGTCTATCGGTTCATCTGGGGCCAAGGAACCGTCCAGCCCTAGCGAGCCAAGACATGAAGAAAGTGTAGACAAGCCCAAGCTATCCGAGAAATATCATGACCGAACAAAGGCCCTGAAACGCGATGAGTCGAGAGATCGCCTCTCGGTATCGGGAGATGGTGTCTCAAAACGACACCGAAATAGTATTACCCCAGATCGGCCGAGCGACATTGACAAGGACGAAGGGCCGGTAAAGCGCCGGCGACTGGAGGGTGACAGCCAGGAGAAGCGATCCCTGCCAAAGCGACCAGTCTCTGAAGAAGCCAAACCCCGCAAAGGTAGTATATCTCGGGATAATTCTTCCAAATCTTCGGCTCTCCTGCCCAGAAAACATCGCGAGGACGACCCACCAAAGAGCAATCACGATGAGCGGGAACCCAAGCGAAAAGACTCTGTCCGAAATACATCTGGCGAGAAGTCGATACGAGTCAAGCAAGAAGATGACGATGTCGAAATGCCAGATGCGGACAATGTCAAGGAACAGGCAGCACCTCGTGATCGAAGGAATCGAGAAAACGAGGAAGAACAAGCTAAGAAGAAGGAGGCTGCTGAGAAAGAGGACGCTCTCAAAGAAGAGGAACGACGGCGTGCCAAAATTGAGGAGAGGAAGAAGCGAGAGGCAGAAGAGGCTCGTCAACGAGAAGAAGAGAGCAAGAAGCGAAAGGAGCAGGAAGAGAGAGATCGGAAGAAACGAGAAGAAGACGAGGCGCGCAACAAACTTCGTGAGAAGGCTGAGCGTGAACGGCGCGAGGCTGAGGAGGCTGCGGCCCGTCGGCGTGAGGATGAGGCTCGCCGCTTAGAGGAAGAAAGGAAGAAGCTGGAACAGGAGGAGAAGAAGAGGAGAGAAGAGGAGAGAAAGAGGAAGGAAGAGGAGAAGAGGAGAGAAGAGGAAAAGAAGAAGAGGGAGGAAGAGGAAGAACAGAGGCTGCGGGAGGAAGAGGAACGGCTTCACAAAGAACAAGAACGCAAGGCTGCCGAAGAGGCCCGACAACAACGTGAACAAGAAGAACGCAGGGAGCGCGAACGTCAAGAACGTGCCCAGCGGGAAGAAATGGAGCGGAAACGAGCCGCCAAAGAAGCAGAACAGCGACGCCTTCGTGAAGAACAAGAACGGCGCGAGGAACAGGAACGCCTTCGAGAGGAGCAAGAGCGAGCTCGAGTAGAGAAGCTGCCCCCATTGCTGCGATGGCTCTGTACAGCGTCAAATCCCAAGACCGCGGCCGTTGCCGAAAAATTCAAGTACATGCGCGCCCCCCGGTTTGACACGATCCGCCCAGAGACGAACAATACCGCCGAGGGTCGTGAGCAATGGATTCTCAACACCCACATCGCTTTGCTGTTGGGAGAGAAGGATCTGAGTCTCTCTAAATGTAAGCCGAACAATACGCCCACCTGCCCCGTGTTCTTAAAAGACTTTTGCTAACACATTGCCAGATGCTTCCTGGACCCGCGTACCGACTTCTCGACTTGCCAAAGTCAGCCTTTGGAGGACAGAGTGGGTGCGATACACGCTCTTCTCCGAGAAGCTGTGGGAGCTTGGCGAACAGCTTCCTGGATGCTATGGCGACGAGGCACCGCAGAGCTTGAGTTACGACAACAAGGACAGGCTCAAGCAAGACGCATGGGAAAAGTTCCAGGCAACGGACATGTTCTTTGTGAAGGTAAGTTGCACCGCAGGCAACGAGAATTTCTAATCATCAACCTCTCCTGACAATGTAACTAATTTTGACATAGGTATCCGACTTCATGGATATTGTGCCTGGCATTCCACACCTGCGAGGCATTAGATTAGGAGTAGAGTATTGTGAGCTCATGGAAAACGAGCAACAATGGGCATCAGCTTCGAAATGGAAGCAAGACCCGGATGCCGGCCGCTACCACGGCCTCGCCCCACGACATAAATACTATGTCGACGGAGTCATGGTCGGAGAAGAACTGCCAACTCTTTCTCAAACGAGCCGAACTCCATTTCCGGAGACGCGAGTTCCCCGACGAGGCCTGACTCGGGCGTATCCCGAAGATACGGACTACAACGCCCTTTGCCTGACTCAAGGCCTAGGGCATCTCATCAAGGATACAACGAGCCCTTCGCCGCTCCCAAACGGCATTCATTCCTCACCGATCAGCCCAACTTCAGCCCCACGGCCCAAGCCGACCATGAACGGCACGAATGGACACGCTGCCTCAGATGAGGTCAAGGATGAGGCAGCAATGGATAGTGGTATAACTAATGGTATTAATGGATCGACCAGTTGATAGCAGAACTGGCCGGGAAGAGAAAGAGAAATACATGAAATCAACTCATGCTGTACAATCTTGCGCTATCCGACACCCTTTGCATTTGGTTTCCGGTTTCTTGGCTTCCTCCTCCTCCTCCCCTTTTCTATCTCTTTTTTTGCTTTGGCCTTGTTCATGTAAATGTCTATAGACTTGGACGGTGGTGGATTGGACGGGAATGAGGCCGCGCGCTCCCTTGTACACACGCGCACATTACGCACACTTTGACGCAACGCAACGCAACGCAACGCAACGCAACGCAATACGACGTTTTGGTGGCTGGCTCCTTGAGGAGGGAATGATTTCTGTTTTGCTTGACATGGGTCTTGACACTTTTACAGCATGAGCAGAGGGACAAAAAAAGCCTTTCTTTCTTCTTTTCTCCCTTTACAGCTTGGACGGAGTGCTATGGTATGCTACGGTACATTTGGACAGTTTGCTTGTTTATGGAACAGGTCAATGGTTCTACAGAGTCGTCTTTCCTTTTTTTTTGGTCGGACAGGGAGGAAAAGGGAAGCTTTGTATGTGAGACGAAGGGCGTTTTGATGCAAGAGTTTCCAGCAATGCGGCATTGGGCAAGAAGAATTCTTGATGGCTTTTTTTTCCCCTTAGGAGGACCCCGGAATTTGGGTGATGAAGATACATGGACTACAATAGCCTTGTATTAAATACAGTTATGTTTTTTTTCGCTCTTGTACATCTGATGGAGTTGTTCGCGTATATGTCACCTGTAAGTCTATAAGTTATAAGAGCTGTGATGGTATCATTGATCTTATGAGACACAAGCTGTGGCAAAAAGCCATCCATCCATATAAATGCTGTGGCTCCTCTTCCCTAAAGCGGATTGGTCCAAATGGGCTGACATCATTGGCCACCAGGAACCACAAACCAAAAATTTACCCCACCAAATTCCTTCCAAAAGATTCATGCCACCACACACAAACAAGTTTGTGATAACAGACGATTATCATCACAGCTGCCAGCACGACGCCGCAGAGAGTTGCGAGCACACGAACATCGAAGATTGAAGCAAGAGGAAACTCGGGAAATTTATTTGGAATAGCTGATACACACCACCGGCATCATGTCGACGACTGTGGACAAGGTATGATCTCGCCTCCCCCCAGCTTGCATTTTGTTTAATTTGTGATTCTTATCTCGACTCTGAGCTTTTGACTGACATTGGACAAATGTAGATCAAGGAGATTGAGGCCGAGGTATGTCTTCCGCATCGAAAACCCTCCAGCGAGACGACGAGACGACGTTATTTCCGAAGGCGAAATCCGGCGTTGGAGCGGTCTGCTTTTTTTTCTTACTAGGAACAAGGACCCTGACGATTTTTTTTTTCTTTTCCCCTGCATTAGATGGCCAAGACTCAAAAGAACAAGGCGACGTCGTATCACTTGGGTCAGCTCAAGGCCAAGCTGGCCAAGCTGAAACGTGAGCTGCTCACCCCCAGCAGCAGCGGCGGCGGCGGCGGTGCCGGTTTCGACGTGGCCAGGACGGGTGTGGCCAGTATTGGCTTCATTGGGTTTCCGTCCGTGGGCAAGAGTACATTGATGAGCAGGTTGACGGGGCAGCACTCAGAAGCTGCGGCGTACGAGTTTACGACGCTGACGTCGGTTCCCGGTCAGGTCATGTACAATGGTGCGTGTTGCTGTGATTATTTTGTTTTTCTTTCTTTTCGCCCGCTTGGGAGAGCGAGAGGACGAGAGAATGATGGGAATAATGCTAACCAAACATTGCTGCATACAGGCGCCCCCTTACAGATTATCGATCTTCCCGGAATCATCGAGGGAGCCAAGGACGGTCGAGGAAGAGGTCGCCAGGTCATCGCCGTCGCCAAGACGTGCCATTTGATTTTCATTGTGCTCGACGTCAACAAGCCCTTGACGGACAAGCGAGTCATTGAGGCCGAACTCGAGGGCTTCGGCATCCGCATCAACAAAGAGCCCCCCAACATTACGTTCAGGAAGAAGGACAAGGGTGGCTTGAACATCACCAGCACCCAGCCCCTGACGCACATCGACCACGACGAGATCAAGGCGGTCATGAGCGAGTACCGCATTAACTCTGCTGATATTACTATTCGATGCGATGCTACTGTTGATGATTTGATTGACATTATCGAGGCAAAGAGCCGAAGGTGAGTGAAAGAGGCAACGAGAATTGTTCCGAAACTACGCGTTGGCTGGCAAACTGGATGATGGATTGCTAATGCTGCTGAATAGTTATATTCCCGTTGTCTACTGTCTCAACAAGATCGATTCCATCAGCATCGAAGAGCTGGATCTGCTCTACCGAATCCCCAACTCAGTCCCCATCAGCTCCGAGCACGGATGGAACATTGACGAGCTCATGGAAGCCATGTGGGAGAAGCTGAGCCTGAAACGAGTGTATACAAAGCCCAAGGGCAGGGCACCCGACTACTCAGCCCCCGTTGTGCTCAAAGCGTCGAGATGCACCGTGGAAGACTTTGTGAGTCACTAAGAAGACCACCCCCCTCTACCCTTATTACTATCACGAGGACTTCTCAACTAATGTGCGTTACACAACATTAGTGCAACGCTATTCACCGCAGCATTGTGGAACAGTTCAAGTCAGCCATTGTTTATGGCAAGTCGGTGAAGCATCAGCCGCAGAGGGTTGGTCTGGCACACGAGCTGGAAGATGAAGATGTCGGTATGTATTACTGTCTGCTTTTTACGTCCTCTACCCCTTATGTTGTGTGAGAATTGGACCGCAGCGAACACACAAAGACTAATTTGGGTTATTACCAGTGACTATTATCAAGCGATGATTTGACAATTTCCAAAGCCCAAAACTACAGTGGGCAATCCGCCGGATGAAGGAGAAGACGACATAACTCATCCGGCTCTTTGAAGTGCCGTGCAAAACCAAGGAGGCTGTCATCCGTTATCTGCCCGCGAAGCCCAAGTCCCGAGTTTCGGCCCAGCAAATGGACCAAGCAGAATTTCATTCACAAAGCCCGAGCGCTTCGGGGGCCAGGGGTACATCCTACGTGGTTGTTTTCAGTTCATGCAAACCTTGGCCGGGTGACTGGCCGGGAACGGGACAGGGATGGGCGGCATTGATGTGGCATATTGCACGAGCATGACAGTTTCAAAGGCCAATGCGCAGGCAATTCGCGACTCGGCACGTCAGAAGGGGAATGAGCTATGATGATCGGCGGCAATGATTCTCTAGGCCCTAAGGAGATGGGAGTAGAATGGTGCATGGAAATGGGACAGTAACAACGCCGCCACCAAGCAACAACTACAACGGCAGCAACAACAGCAAAAAGAAAATTAAAAAGAAAAAAAGAACAAAAGGAAAAGGGGGGATGGCAGACTACGGGGCAAGTGGCAGGGCGTTCACTTTGGGGACTCAAATGAGAAAAGTAGTTACTTTGTAGTACGCCGTGCTCTGACGCTCATAGAAAATAGCCCAATTTCCCTCTCCCAACGATCAGAGCAGTCAAGTCCGTCCAGCGTGCCATCGACAGGGACAACAGACATGGCATACAGAGCACGTGTACGGGTGTCAAATGAGTTGCGTAGAAGCGATAACTGGCACGCGAGTAATTCGTCCTGAAGATAAACCTCGGGGTCCGCTGTTTCGTACGCCTTACTCGCTGTTCGACGATGGATGGTCATAGGCGTGTGAAGAAAAGCATGAACGTAGTTGAATGGGCCATGGCCCAATCCCCGGGGGGGCTGATGTACTTTGGCCCTGCATAGCCGAGGGCCTCTCGATCTGCGGCCGCCCTTCGCAGAAAAAAAAAAGTAGAGCTAGAAACGTGGGGATGGGAAGAGTCCCTTTTGGGGCTGCGGACGAGAGCCCAACCTGGGGCTACACCAAGAAGAGACAACCCGGGAGAGGGGGGTGTGAGCGAGAGAGAGAAAAGAACAAGAGAGAGAGGGCACTCCGGCCTTGACGCTAATTGGAAGTTCGCAGGGTGGCTTTGGATGGGCGACGCAGCAACACGATTCGCTGGATATGGAGGCCCGATGCTGGCTGCATTGCGCCCCAGGGAGTTGTATTGGGCCTTGGTTGTCTCCAGCCCAGCCTTTCAGAGAGCTTCTCTTGCCGCCCAGACGAGGAAGAACTAGAAAATGATGGGCGCCGGGTGGAGACGCATGCGGAAGGCGCATTATTTGGTTTCTTGTTCTTTATGGCGGTGACCCTGCTCGAGACTCTGTATTCGTACGTATTTGTGAGCTCTTGATTTTCTCTGATCCACCTTTGGTGCCAAGTGCCGGAGGAATGCCACTGGCTTCTAAACGTCTAAGTCGAGCCCCGAATTGTTGCTTTGCGAGAGATTGGTGAGTGGGCCAACAGCGACCCGGTCTGAAAAGAACCCCTGTGCTTCATACGGAAGCCAAGTGAGTGCTGCCAAAGGGCAACAAGAGCATGACCACAGGCAGAGACACAAAACACGCGGTCGGTCAAGCCACCTTCATCATGCGTACAGGTACGGGACCCGGCCTGGGATAAGAATCGAGTGGTGAGTGGTCGTGGTGTCGCTTGCTTTCGAAGGAGTGGAGAGATAAAGCCATCTTGACAATGGCGGCCGGTCTAGGAGACGGGACATGGGAGGGGAAGCCGCAGGGGCAGCCTGTACGAACGAGGGTTTGCATGCCATGTTGCAAGGTGCTCACCTGTAAGTACTAGGCCCAGTAATCGCATCCTCAGTGGCCGTAGTCGTACAGGTACTGTGCTCGTACATGCTGCTAGCACTCCATGTGATACTCGTACATGCTTGAGCAGACGCTTCGCGGGAACGAGGATTTTGGTGGCGGCCTGTGTTTTTTAGCAAAGATGAGCGCGCGGCGCGGCATGGCTCATGCATGTCCTTACTGACTACGGAGTAGTTCGCCCGCAGCGGAGACGGAGACAAGAGCCATAAGGCACAGACCAGTGTTGGCCCTGCCGTCAAGAGAACACTAACATGATGCTGCCCTTGTTGAAAGCATACATGGAGACCTTGCAAAGTTGAGTTGCGATGTCTTGATAGGTACGAGTACTTGACTGTGTTCAATGCTCGTACGTACATGCCAGCAGAAGGGAAATCCAATTTTGCAATGGGGCTCGGTGGAGGTGCATAATGCGATAGATAACATCGTGATGCCGGTGAACCAGGCATGATGCCCTGTACCCATGTGCAAGCAGAGCTGGATGGGCTTTCGGTGACAGAGCCTCCGCCGCGGAGCCGCATCATACAAGCCATTGTATCGTACAGGCCGAGCCATGCCGCAAATGAAGTCTTCCACACAGAACACGCCGAAAGTTGGTGGTAGATTTCCACCTGCTGCTCCCTATGGCGGCCAGGATGATGAGACGACTGAGGGTTCGACAAACTCGGCGTTTGCTATATTGTCTACTACAGGTTTGGAAAGTATTCTTCCATATACGAAGCCATCGTCCGGAGACAATTGTATCACCTTTGCCTGAAATGAGAACTCGACGACGTCGTACAAGCAGACTACCGGACAATTTCGCCACGAGGAAACTGGGAAACCTTGAAGACCGATTCCATGGGGTGTTTTCCTATTACGGAGAGCGTCACGCGGCAATATTCCTTCGAGGTATCAGCTCCCTCGAGAAGTGTAATTGGCTGTTTTTGGTATCACCACCAACCAGTCATGATCCACCTTGCCGGCACCTGGACGCGTTTTGAAGAGTGGGCATCGGTAGATCTCGTCGGGATTGGCCGCCTCCTTCCATCTAATTAAAGTCTCCATTTCCATTGGATCAAATCGCGTGTAGCTGAATCATCGACTCTGCCCAAGAGAGAAAGGTTGTTATTCCTACACGAAGTCCAGAATGACCAGGTACTGGTGATGATTTTCATGCCGCCTTGGTTCAGTTGGCTGTTGGGAAAAGCACAGGATGAGGACGCGTCACATCTCTCAACATTTGGTTGCTGAGAACACCCAACGGTATGCTTCGTTGAGCTGCTGCACTGATATCGCCTAACGTCTATTTCGTAAGTCGGAGACAGAATATGAGGAGCTAGTAGAGAGACCAACGGCGGCTCTTTTCGGGAGAGAAAGGTTGATAGCATGAGATTGACGAGAGGATGCTAAATTGGACCTGGCCCTCAGTCTAATAACACATGGCAGGGCCCATGCTGAGCCAAATCTTAACGCACTACCGTGAAAGGATGGGGAATATAATCATTCAATGCCGGCAGTCAGTGAATATGTTCAGCCGTACAGCATCATGTTGGACTCACGAATGCCTCCAGAAGAAGCCATCGTGGAGACCGGGTGTTGTCACACGCCTGTGAGGTACGAGTACTGCCTCTCTCTGTCTTCTCTGGTAAGTGCCAGGTGCTCCGTGTATCTTGCTGGGATTGAACGCTGAGCACGGACCTCCACGCAGCGGCAGCCAGAGGCAGGGGTTGAAATTGGCCAACTGGAAGAGAGCCTGGAAGCGGAAGCTATTCACTTGGCGCGGACGCCACCAGCCCCTTGTCCCCGTTCAATTTGAGCGACGACGAGAACAAAAGATGCCCAGATATTCACAGCATGCAGCTTAAGAACTCCCTGGCCTTGGATCGGAAGCTTGTGAGGTCGGGTTAACGATATGCCGGTTATATGAGTATGTCACTACCAGCATGAAGTTAATCTTTGGTGTTGGTATACGATATGTAATCGTTCTGGTAGGTATGTAGGTACTAACAGGGGTGCAGAGCTGCTTGTGTACGTACTTTTAAGTATCATATCCTCATGACCTATCTCTTGACAGGTGCCTGTTTGTGATTTCCACCGGACCGTCCGGGTAAAAAGAAAGAAAGGGAAGGTGAAAAAAGATTTCGGACTGAGCGCCATAGTAAATGAATTCGATATCGAACTCTCCAAGGATGGGAGACTGGTGCTGCAATAAGCAGTTCTACATCACGTTGTTCCGTCTAACAGGCTGTGATTGGAGTGTCAGCACTGCTATTGTTCTCAGAGGCACCTCCGTCGTAAACTGACCACTGATACCGTTGTCTAGTACAATGCCAAGCCTCATTTTTTCTGAATAAGAGACCCTCTAGCACAAATAGGCTGATGAAACGGCACCGTAAGACGTTTGTGCGTAGATAGAGAAGCATGTGCATGACTTCGCCAAGTTGGTCAAGCGATAAGTCATGATCTCGTCCAAATTGGTCGATGAGGAAACACTCCCCTCTAGAGGCACTCGTATAGTAGTAGCCAGAGATCTTGTTGGTGGAATGGCCGATGAGCTCGAACCAAGGTTATGTTCGATGTCAAGCGATCCAACAGTTACACCCCTCTTAGTGCTTTAGCGTGTGAACTACCACCACGCCATGGCTCGCCGCCTCGCCGCCTCATCATCCTCCAGAAGTACTGCTTGCAAGATAGAAGCCGTCGAATACTTCACACAAGTATTTACCTCAAGAAGGAATAGGCTAGTGGCACGGCCCTGGCCAACGTGGACGGTCTTCCCGCGCTCCCGTGCGTTGACTTTCAGAATAAAGCTCGAGAGCACTAGAGGGTATTTCGCACAGCAATGTCGATCAATCTTGTCTTATAAGACGAGCCAACGGCAGGTTCGGTAAGTCTCAAAGCTTCTCAGGCCAATATTGGCTTTCGAATGAGCGGGTGACCATAAATCTTGTTGCTTCCGTCGGGGTAGAACCAAGCTACGATGGTCGTGTCTCGAGCAGAGGGACAACCTGGACCCTTTCTCGTTGAACTAAAAAAATAATTATCGGTCAGCAGCTTCGGCATGAGCAGGCTTGCCTGTGGACGAAATGGCGGATTGGTCTCTGCCTTTGCGGCGTAGTCAAGATGGCGTCGATAAAGCGGCTGTAATTTCTCTTGTTGCTAGTGATAGTATTTCCGATGAGCGGCTAGGATTAGCTACCCCTGTCAGTAGTATAGCACCCATCATTTGGCGCGCTCGACTTGCGCGTAGCTGAAAACGTGGAGAAGAGGGCAACCGGTAGGAGTACCAACAGGTACGACTCAGCATCCTACCTAGTAGGTAACCTCCATCTGGGGGCAACTCTCAAATCTCCGTAAGCTATTATATCTGAAACTTCCATTTGTCTAATGCTTAAAATTGCGTATACTTGCACTCGTAAACGGCGCGGTGGTGGAGACGGTTGTGGCTGAACAAGTGCCTCTCTGGCATTGGGCTGTCATTTACATCTGGAGTACTTCCTCGACGGCCACCGTTCCTTAGCTTGATTGACATGATCAGCTGCGGCACTTCGTACATGAGGGCATAACTGTACCTTGAACTAGGCAAATGATTCGTTGTTGATCGGTATCATCTGCGACAAGTGCGCTAGCTAGTTCGGGCCGCTCCACAGAGACATGCTCCAACCCCTCTCTTGTATACGAGCCGTTGAAGCCTCATCCACCACAGCTTGAGCAGCGACTTGGCAGTCAATCTACTCAGCTATCACTCGCGAGATTCGAGCGTAGAAAGACTGCTTTTAGCTGGAGAGCTGAACTCCGTGGCGAATCTCGAGACCAAGTGGCTGTGTTTGCATGGTGTTTGATACAGAACATTTCGATTCGTAATTGTCCACAAGCCCAGGTACGGTGTGTTTGCGCGGGCTTCGCTGTGGCTATTGGTGATGAGACCGGGATCAAGGTTTCTTATTTTTTGCCGGGGTTCTTTGACGCTGCTGCGTCCTCGTACGGTAGAGCAGCTTCGTACTGGGTACCTGGAGCGCTCCGGAGGGTGGAAGTGGATTTTCCACAATACCTGTGCTGTGCTGTACTGTAATCCTGCTTGGATGGATGCTTGCCCGGAAGACTATTTCCTAGTCTGGCTGATGAAATCGTCGACCCATGAATATGCCGGGCCAGGCTCTCGTGCGCCGGAATCGCGATGAAGCCCTGGGCAGCAGTCAGTTCTGGACTTGTACTCGTACAAGCACTCGTAGTCGGTGACGGTCCATGTTCATCCTACCTAGACAACCACATGGGGCTTGGAAGCAGCGGCTTTTTGCGTACTTGCACCGAGTGGTACTAGCATTGTGCATGGCCATCGGAAGTATTGCGCTCGCGTGGTTTTCGTGCTTCTCTCTGGGCTCATTTTGGGTGCTCAACGTGCTTGAAGCGTTGCCGTTGCCTGAGATGAATAAGCTTCATTCTGTCTATCCTTGTCGTTGATGGCTCTTGTCACGCTTCTGGGCCGACGTCACGGAGGGAAGGTACGGAATGCTGAATCATTTTTTTCCGACGTCGCACAACACCAGACAGGGCATCTACTCTGGATGCTACCTACTAACTTACTAAGAGCATACATACTCGTATGCTGCATCCTGCAACAGGCCGTGCAGAAAGGAAACTTGTTCCAACTTACAAGGCCGACGGCACGGATGCGACACAGCGCCAGCAGAAGCTCAGGAGACCGCCAACGAACCAATATTAATCAGTGAGTGGGTGTGGGTTTGCCTTGCCTGTACCTACATATGGTCCCATGTCGAGTTCCCAGATCCCGCCGACGCTGCCTCTTCTGGCCATGCTGGCCCTGGTCACCCGTTGGTCAATGTTTGCCCTATCATGCCCAATCTCCATGATCCATGGCCCGTTCCCAATCCTAGCTTGTCCGTCCAGAGCACCCCTCAGTCATTCCGGTCTCTGGTCTCTCAGGCCCATTCCCTTCTGGGACGGAATCCCACCCGTCTTCTCCCTAGCAAACAAGGGCGCCGGACATGCAGACAAGCAAGCTATGTAGACAGCCAAAACTGACACACGCAGACTCACTCACTCACTCACTTATAGGTTAAAGGTACGAGTACCTACTGTAGCTCAACTCGCCCACACGATGGAGAGGCGCCCATTACCTTGCCGACTCACACGCCCCCTCCTCTCCATGGGCCCCCTGCATCAGGGCCCCTGGACGTACATGTACAGGACCTCTTCGTGCATGCGTCTGCATGCCTGCCTCCACGGCCAACGTTCCGCTTCCTTCGCAGACAATGCGCTCCGGCTTCAGCATCTTCCCAGGACGAGTACAGTTACAAGAGCCACTTCTTGTACGCCTCTGGGAGGATACTGCTTGGATACCCTAGTCTAGCCCGGCTTGGTAGACCTAGCATAGCACTGGCTGGTGGGCCACTTGCTCGTCTGCAGCAAACCACCGAGCTTGCCGTCTCCTTGACCAACAGCATCGGCCTGCTGCAGCTTGTCAGATCTTGTACGGACTCGCTTGCCGCACAGACAAGCACGCGGTGCGACGACTTCCACTTCCACTGCCAGGTCCGGGGCCGGTACTTGGTTTATCATCTTAGATGCATCACCGCCCCTCGACCAGACCGAATGCTGCTACTTTCTGTTCTTGCCCAGGGCTGACATGAGTCGTTTCCCTTCTCCGCAGTCTTGTATTTTCACCCCCACGAAAGCACGAGGCAGCGAGTAACGGCGAAGAAAAGTTCCGTCATTGTCTCACCAGACCGTTACCGCGCGGAAGAGAGTCCACCAGCGGGTCTTGCACGCTTCAGTAGTAGTTAAAGTGACGTGAGAAGCAGGGCTTTCCTTGACAGGTGTGCTTCTTTGCTTCTTTGCTTGCTCCAGGGCGTTGCTCTACAGCTGGCCAAGTAGCGATACATTATCTAGCAGAGCACCCCTCATCCAGCAAATTTGTCACCGAGACTTCATTCTTTACTATTACCCATCTTGGTTCTCTTTGCTCTCAAACTCCTACAAACTTGCTTATACTGCGATACCTTTCTCCATTATTAGTTTGCGTTGCAATCATATTTTAGCATCTCGATTTATTTGTCCTTCTCGTCTGGTCTGTTCATCTCCAAAAGAAAAGGGTTATGCCAGTCCCTAACATAACTGTCCATGAGGTTCGTACGCTTCTTTTTGTTTGCTCTGAACAAATGCTTCCCGTAACGATACTTGACATATTATTGCCGGCTCATTGATGACGGCCCAAGACAAGGTTTTGACTTTGTCTCTTCGCTGACGGATGAATGATAATACCCCCCACTCGTTCCGCTTCTCTCTTGCTCTCCTCTTCCTCCTGTCCGTTTTCTGGCAAGAGACTATTTGCCAAGTGCTGACTTTCTCAGTTTTTCAGTAACTAGCAAAACCCAGCGATAGACTGGGCCTCTAAACTTCTTGGAATACATACAATGAACACTGCTGGTCACGGTTCTGCCAACCTGGGCCAGGACGCTACTATGGTACAGAGTAACGGAGCTGGGTATTCCAGCGACCACTGGGCGAGCATCAGTCCGTATAGTCAGAGTCCTTATGGAAACAGCCCTCTGAATGAATATGGCGCCACCTTTGGCGGATTTATATCTCACGGGTTGCCATCAGAATCACTCAACAGAATGCCTCCGCCCATTCAACCGTCCATTCCTCCGCCCTCGACCCATCAGCTAATCCAGCCTGCGCCGCTAATGGGTCATCACCAGTTGCCGATGCTGAACACGCAGTGGCCGAGCCAGTTGACAAACCCGACTCCATCAGGGAGCTACTCTGCACCTCCGTTGTCGATTGCGCCGGCGTCCAGCCTGCCCCCCGTTGACCCGTCGCCGAGACCCCCTGTGCACCATGAGAAAGCAAGAAAGACGTTGAGCGCAGAGCAAAAACGGGCCATGTGCCAGTATCACGAAGACAACCCGGGCACAAGGCAGGCAGACATCGGCGCAAAATTTGGTGTTGAAAGAAGGTAACTTCTCCAAACATTACTCGGGACTTTTCCCCTTTACACTTGGACGAGAATAAACTAACGTCGGCGTCAAGCACTGTATCCAAGGTGTTGAGGCACAAGGATCAGTACCTTAAGCAAGATCCGGAGCCAGATAGCTCAGCACTCAAGCGTTTGAAGGGGAAGCATCCGGATTTTGATCGAACGCTCAGTAACTATGTCCGTCGACAACAACAACGAGGATTTGAAGTCAAAGATGAAGAGATCATCGAACAAGCAAGGCTCTTTGCTCGAGCTAGCGGCAGCCAAGACAGAGGGCTGACTAACATTAACAGCAACTGGCTCCTCAAATTCAAGCAAAAACACGGCATAGGGGCTGGCCGGTTAATGCGCCGTGCCTCTGAAACGAACATTCCGGACCGCATTGCTGTGTCCACAGCTATTCCACGTTTCACAGGAGATAAAACAAATCCTAACGTCTCTCCTGTTTCTCCGACTCAACAACTCTCCCCTTTGTCTGCCAGCCGCAGCGATGAGGACTTGCAAGCTGAAGCACATGAATTCAGTTTTCGGTACGGACATGCTGGGTCACACTCCTCTACATCGTTGGCCAGCGATTTGAGGGACCCAAGTGTTTCGTTCCCCGGTGATACGATAAGCCCAACAGCGCCCTTTCACTTCTCACCTGACCCCAACATTGGAGCGTTTCAAAATAGTTTACACATACAACCGGCCGCCCCTGATTTCCAACAACATCGCGGAAAGAGAAGCAACACATTCCCTTCTCTTAACATCGACTGTGTGAACCAGGATATAAGTGCGGGTCCACTCACCCCTCGACACCCATCTGCCGTCACGTCAGCTTCAACACTTGAATCACCAACAAATGACATCCGAAACACTCCTTTCACGCTTGATTCAACAGTATCATCGCCGCCGGCTTTACGCCGCAGCAGTAGCAACTCGAGTATTGCTGCGCGGTCAAACAACCCTTCCACAAACACTAGCTCTGTATCCTCGACAACTGCCGACTCTTCGCCAACATCTCCGACCCCCGAGGATGCTAGACGTGCCGCGGAAACGCTGCTAAATTATCTGCACAGCATGACACCCAATGGGCCATTTGACAAAAGCGACTACGCCACCATCGTTCAACTTACAAAGAAGCTACAATTACATCAACATCAGACTACTCGTCCTTCTATAGGAGGGCTATCGAGGATCCCCGAAGGCGATGACGGGGAAATTCAGTCGTTGACTGAGACATCGATGGTGGGGATATGACAGAGACATCAAATGGGTCTCTGGAATATCAACTACACACTTCTTTCATACGCATACGCCTGTTTCCCTGTTTTTGAATGTCTGTTATCGAAGTTTTTTTTCCCCTGGCGTTACGGAATTTTTTGAGCATTTCTGGAACAAACAAAGGAATGAGTATGGGAAGAAGACGGCGGACCGGGCTACCCAACTCGGAGTAAGAGCAAAGATGATCTTTTCACATCGAATCAATGCTGTGGCACCGACCTATTTCATATAACATGAAAAGGCTTCCGCTTCCACACCGCAGGCGACGGAAGTGGCCCCTAAGGAATGGACAAGGAACTGAACTGGATGGAAACGGGGTTATAACTAAAAGAGAAAGGCGACTTCATCTGGCAACAGATCTACCAGCATCAAAACTGATTTTTTTTTTTTTCTTCTATCATTCAGATATCACTCATTTCATTATTTTTTTAACCTGGTTTCCATTCGAAACCAGTGCGATGACACCTACCACTCTCCTAACACATATCTAGCGACCAAAGATTCTGCTTGCTGCTCGCGCGCAACCTGAGTGTGCTACTGCTTTGATTCTTATTTCATCCGCCTTTTGAATTTTCTTTACATATTTTCTTCTTATCCTTGGTTGGACTTGATACACCAAAAAAAGGACAAAAAAAGACGGACAGGTGTCGCTGACATGGTGTGGGAGTAAGCAGGACCTTGGGCTCCATCCCCTGCCGCTTCTGGTTTTCTTAAGATTATCTACTTGGGTCTTAACATTTCTACATTTTCCTGTTTCATTATTTGTCGTGATATTTCATTTTTTGAAAGGATATGAATTGGGGGAACAAGACAAGACCAAAAAAATTACAAGGGCCTGTTTGGCACCATACTCCTCACGGAGAAAGCATGCTTTTCAATATCAAATGTGTTTTTTTGTACGGGAATGACCAAAAGAGGGTCTTCGGGGAGCGGGGGGGAACCCATATGGGGACATAATTTTCTTCTCGGCATCTACATGCTTTTTTCGCTTTGTTACTGTACCGGCTAATCCCCGTTTTTTTTCTCAACTTTTGTCATTTAATATGGGCCACATTTAACATTGTGTGTGAGTATCTGCGTGTACTGGGTACATGTCGATGGTCTGTCTATCCCATGTGGAGGTCGAGAGCAGGTGTCCAGATGGGGACCTGGAACAGGGGGCTACGAGTAGGCAGAAGCTATAATACACACTATTACTGGGCACGACTACGAGTTGCACACTGCTGGTTCAAATCCGTACAGAGTACTACGTGCGCAAAAAGGTTGTGTTTATGCACTTTACAGTTAATAAGGTATATTCGTGGGTGCTTAGTATTAACCAAGTCTGTCTTGCCGTAGCTCCACAACGCCCTTGTCGCTTAGCTCTGGCATCAGCCTCACAAGAACCAGTTCCAAGGCGCTATACATCAAGTGTTTGTTGCAGTACTCGTCCCCAACGACGTCGAGGAGACTCTCGAGCTCATCCAAGATCCTCTCGTGGTCCTCCTCGTCGATCGCGGCAGAAGGCGATCCCGCATCATCGCCAGGGCCAAACAGCCCGCCCAGGCGCCAATGCCGACGGCCAAAGTACACGCGGGTCACGCTTGCAGGGAGCAAGTCCGAGATAGCGCTGGCGGCCCTACGGCGCAGAGCGAGCAGCTCCCTCTCCGACTGGGGAGCCACAAGAGTGGACGTGCCGGGGCTGTTGTTAGGAAACAGGGCGCCTCGGAGCGACCGAAGGATGGGTGGTAGATGAGACGAATCGAAGAGAGATTGAATATGGTGCGAGAGGAGTCTACACAAGCCGACGGAAAAGCAAAAGGGCCATTAGTTAGCTTCAGTTAGTCCCCCATCAGAGAGCAAGAGAGAGAAAAAAACGACGAGCCCGGGAAAGAAATGGATATTCCCATCGGGTCCGCCCGCTATAGGTGGGGAAAGAAAGCGAGATTCAGAAGGGGAGGGGTTGGTGGATGCTGTGTGTGGGTAGACAAGAAAAAGAGATAGAGAATGCGAGAAGGAAGCGTTGCCATCGAGAGCCACTTGCTGGCAAGTTTAGCTTGTGAAAGGGGACGTCTTGTCAAGGATGACCCGTGCTCCCTTCTCTCAAGGTGTGATGGAGAAAGGTACATGTGATCATGGGTCAAGGTCAAGGCCAGAGAGGGGGGAGAGAAAGCTCCTCATGCTATCCATGATCCATGGAGGCAAATGTTGAACCAGATTGGATAGCAAGACAGGAGGCTTGCTGCGTGCGGGGAAAACAAGAAAGGAACATCTCCGATGTGTGGTACGGTGCCTGCTGGATCTTCGTAGTGCGGCGAGGGACCTGCCAATGGGCATCGTGGGAGAAAGTGATGTGTCGTGCTCCATGTCGGTCAGGTAATGCGGCAACAGCCAGGAGTCGTTGCGACGACGGAGGGTGAAGGAGGCTCACAGGCCACTTGCCAACGAGCGCCTTGCATAAGCGCGTTCTCGCCCAAAGTCCGTTGATTTCTGACAGGTAGTTTCGTATGATTCCTTTAGCCATTGACGCAAACGATCCCAGCTTCCGCAACAAGCCAGCGGAGGAGGAGAAGCGAGTGACATGCGTCCCATCAGTGGCCTTGGGTACTAACCACCGAGCGCCCACGCGTGGTGGAGCAGTCGCTGGGACAAACGGGTTTTTTTCCTTTCCGTGTGACAAGAGAAACCGGCGCGGTCAGGAACCACGAGGCCTTGCCTGCTTTGGGGGAAGTCGGCCCAATGGACAGCAGATGGCTACCTGGAGGTGGCGCGGCACGGGGCGAGCGGGTGATTTGATTTTCAGACGAAATGCTCTTCCAACACCCTTTCGTCGTGAGAGGCTAGACAGCTGGGGTCCTGACCCGCTTTCTCTCGTAGCTGATTGCCCCCCCTGTTCGAGGCCGGCGCGTAATAAAGGCTTCTCGATGGACGGGCCGTTTTGTGGTGGCCCAGGCCGGCGCGATAATTTCGAGCAATCGGAGCCGAGATGGCGAGCCTCGCATTTCCATTGGCTAGCCAGGTAAGGAGCTAGCAGCCCAGATCTAGAATGCTCGGTGTGGTGTGGTCTTGGGTTGCAAATTGCGCCGGTCATGATAACCCTGTCGGGATGGCCATTTCGACCTCTCATCAAATGGAGCTACCTATCTACTAGATAGACTCCGAGGGCGTCGGCCAGGCAGGAGTGTGCACAATGTAGAGAGTATTTGTGCCACAGATGGGGAACGCGGCATCCGGCTAAGGCACGGTCCGTCCAGAGAGAGACCCTGTTTTGAAAGCTCACTCGCTGGAGGCAAGGGGGGTAGGAAGGTCCAGTGACTTTGTGAAGATGCGAGATGACGAGTAGAATCAACAATGATCAGGGGTGGGAAGGGAAGGGCCAAGACGATTCATCAGTACAAGGAAATTTGCGTATCTTACCTGTCGAGAGGACCATTAAGCCCCGCAATACGCCATGGCCCATCAATGGCGGCAGTCTGTAACAATGATATGAAGCCACCCAGCCAGGGTTTCCTCTCCTCCAGCTCAATCAGATTCCCAAAACACGCCCAGAGCTTGAAGCTAAGTACAGGTACTTTGGCCCCGAGGTTCGTATCCGTTGATGGTGGTGGTTGCTTGTCACTGTGAGCGTCTTCTGCGGCTTCCTCATCGAGATGAAGCGCCGTTCTGGGAGGTAGCGATATGGAGTCCGCCAAGGTGCCGGCCATGAGCCGAAGAGCGTTGAAGAAGAGGATGCCCAAGTGAATAATCAACACAAAGACCCCTTGGGCCGTCCACTTTGGAGACTTGGCCGCATCCTGACCAAGGTCTGGTGGTCCGTCCTTCCCAGACACGATCCTTGCCTTTGTCCTATCTTTCTGTTCGCCCAACGACCTTGCGGCGATACAGATGGCCTCGTAGAGCAGCCATGGCTGGGATGCTTTGCCCGCGATGACATTGCCAATGATTAACTCCGAGAATATTTGTTCCACCAGGGCCGTTAGGCAGGGGTTCTCCAAATCTTCAGTAGGGAGCAGGATGGCTAGAACACCTTGGACCAGCAACTGGCGATAGGTCGCCTCGTTCTCTCGTTGTAGCTCCCCAGCCGTGTTATCATCCAAGCGAGGCACGGGGGAAAGGAACGGCAAGGGGAAAATGGAGTGGTAGACCTCTCGGGGATCAGCATCAACCGAGGATTGCAAAGCAGATCGAGAGGCCACGCGGCGAGCTGGGACCCAGTCAGTGGCAGATCCAAAGCGTAGGGCAACGCCACACCACTACTAGCCTGTAGCATGTCTATCGAGCAGATCTGGTATTTCATCCAAGAGCAAACTCTCGAGATCCAACTTCCTAAACCTCTGCTCCAGTGCCGTGGTGCAGTGTGCAATGATACGCAGAATCTCAGGCACAAACGTCTCGTCGGCAGTGATCTTGCTATACCAGCTCTGTACAAACTCCCGCATGATTATAGCGAGGAAGGCGTAGAGCTGTAGGTCGACATCATTGCGGCTCGTCAGCGGTGGCAGCAGGAGGTCCTGGATGGCGGGCTGGGCATCTCGGCCTTTGTCTCCCAGATGCTGCGGGCACAGCGTCCGGCGGATGAGGTTCAGCGTTGCCCGATCAGACAGCGGGTCTATCGGCACGGGACGGGTGCTCCGGCGATCTGGGGTGCCGGCTTCGGGGGGCGGAGAGGCAGCAGCATGTTTTGGCCTCGTTGAGGCTCTGTGAGCGAGAGGAGGGGGAGTTGGAGCTGAAGCTGAAGCGGAGGCGGCTATCATGGCCGGCGAGTCGAGCGGCGTCGTCGCAGGATCATTGCGCGCAAGAGGCGGGGAGACGCAGAGGCGGAGAGGCGATGACGGAGAGAAACAGAAGGCAGCGGAACTGCACGGAACTGGACAGAGGAGGCTGGTCGTCAAGGTAAAGTTGGGTCGCCTGTTGGGTCGCAGGTCTGGGATATGCAGGCATGCAGTTCGATGTTTGGCCTTGAATTGGCTTGGGCTGGGCTGCACCGTGCGCTGCAGGTCACCCCGCACGTGCGTCAAGTGGGTTCACGTGTTTTGGATTAGGCGCTGTGGCGAGCTGTTTCACCGGGAATCTGCAGTAATACAGGGCACTTAGGTAGCCCGTAGATGCTGCAGCAGTCAGCTTAGCTTGGACCTCTTAAATCCTGCATATCCGGCGAAACCAGACAAGAAGTTGTAATAAAGGGACGCAGGACAACTATATAGTATATCGAGGGATTTTGATGACTCTGAAGCAACCCAGTTTTTTTATCTCTCTCTTTTTAAACGCCTCTTAGATATATAGTACATTGGAGAGGTGCATCTATGCATACAGTATAGCCGTACAACGGTGGTGGATGGTTTACACTTCTTTCAGCATGGCGTCTCGCACAAGCCTGCGCCATCAAAACCCACCTACTTCTTTGGGTTTTCTTCCTCTTCTCTATAGGTCCCTCGTGGTCGTCTCATATCTGTCAAGTTTGTTAGCCGGCCTGAAGTGGAAAAAACATTATGCAATCATCGTCAAAACGAACCTCTTTCCTCGGAACGCCCAAACGCCCCAGTTTCCACAGCTGATATCCTGAGGGTCCATGTCATCAAGGTCCCATCGCAGACTCCGGAATTTGTTCTCTCCAGGCTCCAGCAGAATGTCAAACTCCCCTCCTGACTTCTTCTTCACCCATTCAACATCACGATCCAAGTCGACCTGAGTATATCCAGTGCTGATAATTGGCACCTTGGTCTCCAGCAGCAAGGGCAGAGTTTCTTCCCAATCGTGGCTGCTTGCAGGGTGGCCAAGGCCTGGGTGGAAGAGCATGAAGCAATCAAAGTAAGGATCGTAAGGCGCAAAGTGACCCGTCTTGTGAATGGTGTGGTAATAATCCACAATGGTGCTAATCTTCATGTTGTACCACACTCGGTCTTCAACTATGGTGCCAAAGGGGTTCGACGGCGTGCGTTCTGGCAGTGGGAATTCTTCGTCACGGTTGGCCATGCTCTCCGGTCCGATAAAGATAAGGTGCAGTCGTGATTCTGGGAATAGATGGGCCAGCTGCACCCATACAGGTCGTGGCAGCGATGATTCGGCTCGAGCGCCGAGAATAAATATTCTCACTGGCGGGGGTTCTGGGCGAAGCTGGTTGATGCCAGCGCCACGGCCAGACCTTGGTATATGCAGGTTATATCTCAAAGCTAGAATCGCAATCCACATTAGTCCCGTATGCAAAGAGACAACAGATGTCAAGCCACGTCCACGGCTCGGTTTGCTCTCACTTACCACTAAAGCTCTTCAACCCCTCGACCGTTAAACGTCCTCCATTCTGGATATTGTAGGGGCTCAGTTCATGAAGAACACTGCCGATTGTAATCGGATATGTAAGGAGTCGAGTGATTTGTCTCATCGAGCGGTCCGAGTCAACCGCCTCAAATTCTCGAGTGTACATGAAAGTGTCCCAATTTGTCATGTTGACCGCAGCATTCTCCATCTGAAGATCGGGGAGGTTGCCTTCGTGGAACACTCTTCCGGATCGCAGATCGTGATCGTCTTCGTTGATTTGGCGGAGAGTATCGCAGATCTTCAGATGGTTCTCATAATCATCCATCCAGTGCTCTTTGCTGCAGTATACCGCAATGCCGCAGTCGGGGCACTCGAAATCCACGTTCGCAGGCGGCATATCGCCACCAGTAGCCGGAGCAGCATCATCAACCGCCGAAGCGTCGAGGGGAACTCGGGCATGCTTGTGGTCTGGGTGAGGGCAGTATGCATGCTGCTTCATAAAGGCAGCTCGGCGACGGAATTCGGGAACTGGCGATTCAGAAAACGGATGGAAAAGGTCATCGGAGTTCAATCGAAGTGTAGATACCGGCGACTTTCCAGCAGCAGAGGCCTCAGAAGCTGCGTTGGCGCTGGATGTAAACTCCCGCGCAGTTGTCAACTTGGATCCCGCAATCGTACGTTTGGCGTCTTGCGACTTGCACGAGTGCACGCTCCGGATTGACACTTGCGCCCACGGCTTCAATGCGCCTCGCACAGCTGTTTGCCTCCGCAAAGATGCTGAGCAACGCCCACACAGGCTGTGAGCCGCTCGACGCAGAGCCGGCTCCATTGTAATGCCTGATTGACTGGAATTGACGTTGAAAGTGATCCCCCGCTATGCCTCTCTCGCCTGTATAAAAAAGATGGACTGAATGGGCGCAATTTGCAAGGAGCTCGGACCACCCTCGCACCACCCCCGCATTATTGTTCCTCCATTCTTCCGGCCCTTTTCCAAACTTTTAGCATCAAATCTCAAGCAGAGCTCCGCCTGTTGATTTTCCACACAACAACCGCTTCCCAACGCGACTGAGCTGCTCAATCGGCCATTCAAGCTTCTGAAAAGCCGTGCAGGCTTGACTGCGCCCAGTCAGGAACATGGCGACCACTTCTAACATGTTCCTTTACTCGCTGACGATCCAGCCGCCAACCAATGTCGTCCAAGCGGTTCTGGGTCAGTTCGCGGGCACCAAGGAGCAGCTCATCATCACGGGTGCTGGGTCACGGCTGGCTCTCTTACGGCCTGACCCGTCGCAGGGAAAGGTCATCACACTGCTGTCTCATGACATCTTCGGCATTATCAGGTCTTTGGCGGCCTTTCGCCTAGCAGGCAGCAATAAGGGTGAGTTCCTCAGCTCCCATTATTTTTGGAGGGGCCACATAGTGATGGTGAAGATAAAAAAAAGCTTTACAGCGCACCCTACCAGACAAACACCCCCTTATAGAGCGGGGGGTTATTGCTATTTCGCGACCAATGGGCTAATATCATGTTCCAGACTACTTAATCTTAGCAACTGACTCTGGTCGGATCACGGTTATTGAGTATCTTCCGAAAGAGAATCGATTCCACAAGCTGCATCTGGAGACTTTTGGAAAGTCTGGCGTGCGGAGAGTTATTCCTGGAGAATATCTCGCTTGTGACCCCAAGGGGCGCGCGTGTCTCATTGCATCCATTGAGAAGAACAAGCTCGTATACGTGCTCAATCGAAATTCTCAGGCAGAGCTCACCATCTCCTCGCCCCTCGAGGCTCACAAGCCTGGAGTCTTGGTCATTTCTATGGTGGCACTAGATGTTGGCTATGCCAATCCTGTGTTTGCTGCTCTAGAGATGGACTACACTGAGGCGGACCAAGATGCTACAGGGGAAGCTTTGCGAGAGCTGGAAACTCAGCTGGTCTACTATGAGCTTGATCTCGGTCTCAATCACGTCGTGAGAAAGTGGTCAGAGCCTGTAGACTCAACTGCCTCGCTGCTATTCCAGGTACCCGGTGGCAATGATGGGCCCAGTGGCGTCCTGGTGTGTGGCGAGGAGAATATCACATACCGCCATTCCAACCAAGAGGCTTTCCGGGTGCCAATTCCCCGCCGACGAGGAGCAACGGAGGATCCGTCCAGAAAGCGCACCATCATCTCTGGTGTCATGCACAAGCTCAAGGGCAGCGCTGGCGCTTTCTTCTTCCTACTCCAGACCGAGGACGGTGACATGTTCAAGGTCACAATCGACATGGTAGAGGACGAAGAAGGCAACACTACAGGTGAAGTCAGAAGGCTCAAAATCAAGTATTTCGATACAGTTCCAGCTGCAGCTAGTCTCTGTATTTTGAAGAGCGGCTTCCTCTATGTTGCCAGCCAGTTCGGAAACTTCTCCTTCTACCAATTCGAAAAACTTGGAGACGATGACGAAGAGTTGGAGTTTACCAGCGATGACTTCCCCGTCGATGCACAGGCTTCATATAATCCTGTCTACTTCTATCCCCGGCCATTGGAAAATCTGGTCCTCGTTGAGAGCATTCCTTCCATGAACCCTCTTCTTGACTGCAAGGTTGCCAACCTGACCAACGAGGATGCGCCTCAGATTTACACCATTTGCGGCAACGGTGCTCGAAGCACATTCCGGACACTGAAGCATGGGCTTGAGATTAATGAAATCGTGTCCTCTGAGCTGCCCGGTATCCCATCTGCTGTTTGGACGCTGAAGCTGAATCGAACTGCACAATATGATGCATACATTGTCCTCTCCTTTACTAACGGGACTCTTGTCCTCAGTATAGGAGAGACGGTGGAAGAAGTCAGCGACTCTGGGTTCCTTACCAGTGTCCCAACCCTGGCTGCCCAGCTGCTTGGTGATGACGGTCTGATTCAAGTTCACCCCAAGGGTATTAGGCATATCCGTAACGGGCAAGTTAACCAGTGGGACGCTCCGCAGCACCGGTCTATCGTAGCCGCTTCAACCAACGCCCACCAAGTAGCTATTGCCCTAAGCTCTGGTGAAATTGTCTATTTCGAGATGGATGATGACGGTTCATTGGCAGAATACGACGAGAAGAAAGAAATGTTCGGAACAGTTACTTGCCTGAGCCTGGGCGAAGTTCCCGAAGGCAGATTGCGGAGTTCGTTCCTTGCAGTTGGCTGTGACGACTGCACAGTTCGCATATTGAGCCTTGACCCGGAGTCTACTCTCGAAAACAAGTCAGTGCAAGCACTGACAGCAGCGCCCACCTCCCTCGCCATCATTTCCATGGAAGACTCGTCATCAGGCGGCTCCACTCTCTACCTACACATCGGCCTCTACTCAGGCGTCTACCTGCGGACTGTCTTGGATGAAGTTACTGGCGAATTAACAGACACGCGGCAGAAGTTTCTGGGGCCGAAGCAAGTGAGACTATTCCAGGTAACGGTCCAGGGAAGGACTTGTGTACTTGGTCTAAGCTCTCGACCATGGCTGGGATACGCTGATCCCATCACCAAGACTTTTGTCGTCACTCCCCTCAACTATGTTGATCTAGAATGGGGCTGGAATTTTACAAGCGAGCAGTGCGAGGAAGGCGTCGTGGGCATTCAAGGGCAAACTCTACGGTAAGTGATTGATGTCTCTTTCTCCTGAATCATATCGTGCCAAATGATGAAAAATATGGGATCCAAGCCTGCGGGCTATGAGGTTCTTATTACGCATTTTTTTTCCAATTGTTCCTACTGAAAGGCACTCGATCATCTGTTTTTGTTCTGATATCATAAAACCTACCATTGCAGATGCTGATGATTACTAGGATTTTCTCTGTCGACCGACTTGGGGACACACTTATCCAGAGTTCAATTCCCTTGACTTACACGCCCAAGAAGATGGTGAAGCATCCAGATCATCCTCTTTTCTATGTGATTGAGGCGGATAATCATACTCTTGCTCCTGAACTCTGCGCCAAATTGCTCGCAGACCCAGCCCGGGTCAATGGGGACACCAAGGTCCTTCCAGCAGAAGAATTCGGGCACCCCAGAGGCAACCGACGCTGGGCCTCGTGTATCAGCGTCGTTGACCCTCAAGCCGAAGATGGCCAAGTTCTGCAAAGAATAGACCTAGAGGAGAATGAGGCCGCAGTCAGTGTGGCCATCGTTACGTTTGCCAGTCAGGAGAACGAAACCTTCCTGGTCGTTGGAACCGGGAAAGATATGGTCGTGAACCCTCGCAGTTTTTCTGACGCATTCGTCCATATCTACCGGTTTGAGAACGACGGCAGGGGTCTAGTATTCATCCACAAAACCAAGGTCGAAGAGCCTCCTATGGCCATGATTCCTTTCCAAGGACGAGTGTTGGTGGGCATTGGAAAGACACTCCGCATATACGATCTCGGTATGCGGCAGCTGCTACGAAAGGCCCAAGCCGAAGTCGCACCACAGCAGATCATTTCTCTAAGCACGCAAGGCAACCGAATTGTTGTTGGAGACGTGCAGCAAGGCATAACCTACGCTGTCTACAAGCAGTCAACAAACAAACTCATTGCTTTCGTGGACGACACCGTCGCCAGATGGACAACGTGCACAACGATGGTAGATTATGAGACTGTTGCTGGTGGAGACAAATTCGGCAACATCTTCATCGTGCGCTCTCCGCAGAAGGCCAGTGAAGAGGCCGATGAGGAGCAAGCAGGGCTTCATTTACTCAACGCGAGAGACTATCTTCACGGAACCTCTCATCGCCTGGATCTGATGTGCCACCTCTTCACTCAGGATATTCCAACGAGCATTGCCAAAACCAGCTTGGTGGTTGGAGGGCAGGACGTCCTGTTGTGGAGCGGACTTATGGGCACTATTGGTGTTTTGATTCCGTTTGTTACGCGAGAAGATACAGACTTCTTCCAAAGTCTAGAACAGCATATGAGGGCCGAGGATCCTCCTCTGGCAGGCCGAGACCACTTAATGTACCGCAGCTACTATGCACCCATGAAGGGCATCATCGACGGTGATCTCTGTGAGAGATATGCTCTGCTTCCAAATGATAAGAAGCAAATGATTGCAGGGGAGCTGGACCGCTCTGTCCGAGAAATTGAGCGGAAAATATCGGTAAGGACCTGCCTTCCCTCATACACCATACCGTATCACGGCGAAACACAAGCTAACAGTTCACACTTAGGACATCCGAACTCGGTCTGCCTTTTAAGAGCCTTGGTTTTTACTTTTACTTTAATTTTATCATGTGGAATATATGGCAATGAATGGTGTAACTAAGTAGGTTTCAGGGATGATGGCGTTACATACAGGATGATATATGCCCAATAGGCTAGGCAGAAGGCATCCAAGAAGATGCTCGTGCAAATTTTGCACGTTTACATGAAATACGAAATTCTAATGTCCCAAATTCTCCAAAAGCAAAGAAAGCAAATATGCGCCAGAAAACCAGTCGTGATGGGTTTACAGGCCCCTCCAAAACAATCCACGACTCTTGACCTTGTTGGCCTCGGCATTCCTCTCTCGCCGGTTTGGATGAGTCCTCTCCCAGACTTCATCATCCATGTAAGCGACGATGGCGGCATCGATATCATAACCGGCCTGCTCCATATACAACAGAGCGTAATCATAGTCGGCAACTTTGCAAAGTGTCATGAAGCGCCGGATTTTTCCCTTTCTCAGCTCCTCTTCCTCGCCCTCGACCGGCCGAGGCGACAGGCTGACGCCGCCCTTGTAAAACTCGCCGGGAATCAAGATCGTCTTTCGGCCGACTAGCAGGTGATCACTTGTGAGGTTGTTTCGCCGTCGCAACGCCGCGGGTGGCACGCCATACCGCAGCGACAGCGACTGGACAGTGTCGTGGTCATGGTCCAGGAAATGGAGGGTGTCGTCTAGGGCGGCTTTCTCATCGAACTCGGGCGTGCTGCTTTTGTTGCTCTTGGCTGGTGGCGCATCATCTACGGATTTGTACGGTGGCGGGGGAGCAGAAGCCGGGATGGATCTGGACCCCAAACTTGGGACCGAGGTGTACAGAGGAGGATCCCGAAGGCCTTGAGGTAACGGCGAGGGCGTGCTTGATACTTGGCAGAATGGACAGTAGGATGCAAAGCGCGGATAGCTCTAAAAGAAGATTGCGCGGATTAGCAACAGATTTCAAGGGAGTGGTATAAACGCTGCATCATGTAGATAAGAAGAGCTTCAAGTTGTGGCTAACCTGTATACACTTTGCGCAGATAACTCGGGAACAGCACTCTACTCTCCGGTCTTGCGGGAAAGATGCGGCGTCTTGCGAATATGGAGGCGACGAGGCAAGGCTGCCTGTGCAGGTACTGCAGTATTCCATGATATTCCTACTATACCCAGTAGTTGCGAGATGTACAGAAGCAGAGGTTGGAACTGGAACTGGAGGTAGAAATAGAACTGAGGTTTGTCCTCGTGACGGGCATGAGAGAGGCACGAACTTCGGTCTTGTGGTTTTAGTTTATCTCAAGACACACTGCCCTGCTATCTACTAACCTAGGCTGAATAACATAGAGTGCTTAGTAGGTTGTATTAATAGGCAGTTTAATCGCCGCTTTTGGATTACATACTCGAGTTGGCTGTGGGAGAGACAACATGGGGGGCCAATCACGTCATGGCAGATGACAAGCTGCTTGTTCTGGTTGTTTGTCGCCACATGGGGGGAGATGCTAATGGAAAAGGCGCCAGAGCTGGAGTGTTTGATTCTCATTAGCGGGAGAATATCGAGATTGGACTGTTTTGTTACTGTAATGAATGCGTCTGTGGCTAAACTGAGCTGCTGAGCTACCTCGCACTTTACAGGTTACCCGGGACCTGTCAAAATTGTCAAAATTGTTAATATGGATTGGATCCAGAGATAAATTGCGGAGCCGCCTGGCGCGCGTCTATTTGGTGCTCCGGTTTGGTACTTGGTCAACGCGCCGATAGCTTGGTAGCTTTTGTTCTTTTTCTTCCATTTTCATTTCCACGAACTCTCGAATTGGAATTGCATGTAGTGACTGCTCTGTTCCTCTATGCACGCCTTTGGTCTTCATACATACCTATCACTTGCCTCTATACCGCAGAATTTGGGTCGATCAATTCGTTATATCATCACAGTCTTCAAAGTCAACCGAGGCGATGAATAAACCAAAGCTGGCCTTCGGGCTCAACCTGACGAAAAAGCCTGGCGCATCCAAGCCGCTGCCTTCGAGATCGAAACCCATGTTTGGTAACCACGACGATGATTCAGACGATGAAGGAACTACCAAAGTCTCCAATATTGAAGAAATTGGAGGCGATTTGGACGATTTCACATCTGTTCCAGCTCAAGCACCGTCAGACTCAACGAGGGGACCCAAATCAAAAAAGGGTCTCATAAATGAACCACCAAAGCTAAAATCAAAACCTCAAACAAGTACAATGTTTGGCGATCTCTCCAGCACACTCGCCTCGCGCAAAAACGCCGAGGCAGCCACCGAACTGGACGCCAGCGTCTACGAGTACGACTCCATATACGATTCCATGAAGCCACAGAAGAACAAGTCCAAGGAAGATGAAGAACGAAAACCAAAATACATGAAGAACTTGATGCGCGCGGCCGACGTGCGGAAACGAGACCAGCTGATTGCTGAGGAAAAGAAGATTGCGCGGGAGCGCGAAGCCGAGGGAGACGAGTTCGCAGACAAGGAGAAGTTTGTGACGGAGGCATATAAGAAACAGCAAGAGGAGAATAAGAAATTAGAGGAAGAGGAGCGCAGGAAAGAAGAGGAGGAGGCGAAGAAGAATGAGGGCACTGGCATGGCGTCTTTCTACCGGAAGCTGCTGGACAAGGAGCAGGAGAGACATGCAGAGACGGTTCGGGCCGCGGAAGAAATGGCCAAGAGAGGTCCTACAGAGGCAGATGGAGAGGGTGGAGGAGAGGCCGATGATGATAAGGAAAAAGAATACGCCAAGGCGGCGCAGGAGCTCAATGAAAAGGGCGCTTCCATCTCCGTCAACGAAGACGGCCAAGTCGTCGATAAGCGACAATTGCTCAAGGGCGGCCTCAACGTCGGCGCAAAGAAGCAAGTAGAGGCGCAGCGAGAAGCCGAACGACCGGTGGAGCGGGAGCGTCGGGAAATCACAGGGCAGCAGCTCGGCCGGAAGCAGGCCATGAGGGAGCGGCAGTCGCGGATGCTGGCGGAACAGCTGGAGGCGTCGCTGAAGCGCACGCGGGAGGCGGAGGAGACGAAGAGGGAGGAGACGGAAAGGGCGGCCAAGACGCGCAAGACGGAGGGGGAGATTATGGGGGCCAAGGAGAGGTATCTGGCGAGAAAGAGGGCGGCGGAGGAGGAGAAGAAGAAGGCTGCTGCTGGGGCTGCGGCGGAGTGATGGCGCGGATGATGATGTATATATACGCACTTACATATAGATACCCAAAACGGAATGTAATGAATGATACACGAGTTGCAAGGCAGTTAATTGTTTCAAGAGGTAGAGTGGATGATCCATTGTATATGCTCTATGTCCCGTCCCGAGATTCCGCGCCGTGGCACCCAAGACCACTCTAATTTGAAGAAATAGTAATACAAAAACTCATCAGAGGGAGACTCAAAGGCCAATGCAGTGAGACCTTTTTGTAGTTTTCCCAATTCATGATTCCTCCAGCCCCATTCGTCCGTCTGAACCGTTTCATACAGCACATCTCTTTGGCCAAGTCTTTTTGCTCGTTCGTTTATGATCCAAGCTCGGATTTTATGCTTTTGCTCCCCCGCCGCTTCTTCCAATCATTTCTCATTCTCTTTATTATTATCGAATCTTTAGTTGTTTCCCTGCTCCTGTCGTATCCTGTTGATGTACGCCGCGTTGACCTGGTTCCAGGCGGCCATGTACTTCTCCATGCAAGACGTCATGCAGGTCTGTTCGCTGCTGGAGAGCGAGCTGCCGGGCTTGGGGACGCACTTTTCGAAGCAGTTTTCTTGGAGTTTCTATATATAGGTAAAAAAAAAAAGAAACAATATTGTCAGTTTTTCTTCTTATTGCCCGAAATCACCATAGGAAGATAGGTGGGGGATTTTGCGTACTTCTATGAGGACTCGGGCGTTGGCGAGGTTCGCTTCCGCGAGGACCTGCTTCATGACGGATTGCTTGATGGAGGATGAGTCGGACATTTTGGGATTGGGGTTTGCGAGGAGGTTTGGGTGATATGTTTTGGAGAGGATTGGTTGACTTGGAAGATTTTGGAGATGTGAGGATCTGGAGTAGTTGCAAAGTTGCTGTGGCTGAGTGTGGCGTTGGGGAGCTAGTGGAGAGGCGGTGCGGCTGAATAGGTCGAGTTCAAGTTGTAAAGTCGAGGTGAAAATTCCAATTAAGATGATTTGACAAAGAACAGATCTTTATTGAATCTTCGTCTATATGTATTACATTTACTGTAACGTATATAACGTCCTTTCTTTCTCAATTCCTTTGTGGTAATTCTATAATGAACACTTGCTCATTTTCAAGTAATACCCCAAGCTAGAGCATGTTGATGATGCGTGTTATTGTACCTATTTGACTTCTGTCACGCAATTTCTGGAACCAAAAAAAATACAAACACTTAATTCTTCTGAGCACTGAGTTGATGCATTGCACCCAGATGGCTGAATGCGTTTTCGGTTGTCTTGTCTGCATTGTGATATTGACCTTGTGAGCTATGGCATATGGCATCTGACATGTGACTACCTGCCTAGATGGAACTGTGATTCCTGGTCGAATCGCAGCAGAACGCATGCTCTAAAACACCTGCCCATGAAACTGCATGTCGCAAAACTGGTAGACAAGTAATATTTATTCAATTAAAACTATAGTTATGGATCACATACCAGTATTCGAGAGCTCGTGCCTCAAACAACGTCCTGAGACAGCACAGTGTATAATGCCCCACTACAGGCATACAAGTCGTCTCCGTCAAGTACCGATACTCGATGTGTGACTTGGTATTAGAGCCAAATTTTCCACAGCGTTGATATTGCAGGCTCAAAAGTTGCCAATTGATACAGTGTCTAGATACTGGAGATATCAAGGAGTATGAAATAGTAATATAAGGGGGAATGAGCGCTATAACATCTGCGCATATCAGACAAAATATACCTACAGGTACCAAAGCACCCGGCGCAGCTCCAGCAGGTGCTAGTAGGGGCGGATACCTCCGGGCCTCCACAGTCTAGCTCTTTGAGGAATAGCACTGTGTCGCGGGCTTAACACGAATTGTGGCCTTTCGGAACCTCCCATGTGAACCGCATCACTGGCCGGTGCTTGTTGCTTGTTATTCCCAAAAACACCAAAAACTCCGGACGACGAGAGAGGCGGTATCAGATCCCGTGCCGATCTCCAAGTGACCTCGCCGACTGCCCGACCATTGGATCAATCTACGTCACAATCGCGCCAAGATGCGGCTCTCCTCGCTGTCGGCCGTGCTCGCCACGGCGTTTGCGTGGACTGCAGCGGCCCAGGACGACTTTAGAAGCATAACGGTTGGTTTGATCTCGGACATGGATTGCGCAGGAATTGCTATGTGCTAACGACCCGCGCGCAGCTCAAGACGCACACTCTCGAACAAGTCAGTCGCAAATCGATGCAGAGGAAAGGGGGGAGGAGAGTGGACAAATGTGAACAATGAGGAAGCTGACTGGCATTCTAATGTTTTTAGCCCTACCTGGACTCTGACATGCAGAGCCGATGGTTCGATTTTGGCGGTGATACAATCATTAGAACAGACTCGTACGTTCCATGCCCAGTGCACTCACTCTATGCGACCCAATAGCTCAACCATGCTACAGATATATCCGCCTCACCTCCGATCGACCTTCGCAAAACGGTTGGCTCTTTTCACGAGTACCCCTCACAGCGACCAACTGGGAAATTGAGGTCGAGTTCAAGATCCATGGCAAGAACCAACTGTATGGCGATGGCTTTGCCATGTGGATCACCAAGCAACGAGGCCAACTCGGACCCGTCTTTGGTCACGCCGACAAGTTCGAGGGCCTGGGCGTTTTCGTCGACACGTACAAGAACAACCGCCCCGGCGTCGTCTTCCCCTATGTCATGGCCATGTTTGGAGACGGACAAAAGTCTTACGACAAGAACAACGACGGCAAGGAGACGGAGCTGGCTGGTTGCTCGGCCAGAGGTCTCCGCCACTCGAGCATCCCCACCAAGATGCGATTGACCTACTTCCAGGACAAGAGCCTCAAGCTCGAGCTCCAGTACAAGACCGTGGGCGACTGGTTGGTGTGCTTCGAGGTCGACAACCCCCCTGCGATCCCCAACATTGCCTACCTGGGCTTCAGCGCCGAGACCGGCGAGTTGAGCGACCACCACGATATCATCTCCATCTCTGCCAAGAACCTGTACAGCAGCCCAACTGCCAGTGGCCCCGGCAAGGCGAACACGAGGAACCAGTTCAAGGCCAAGAACGACACAAGCGGCGGAAGCTGGACCTGGTTCTTTACCAAGATCTTTTTGTTTTTCCTCGTGGTAGGCGGCGGATATGCGGGCTTCACCGCGTACAGGTCGAGGACCAAGAGCCACAGATTCTAGACAGGGCCACTGTTTTTGAACCTGTAGACGTGGGGGAGGAGGGAGATGTTGGACTCACCCGGGAAACTGACGCAGGCAGAGGGAAGGGATTATATAATTTAAACGGTCGATGGATAGGCGGGAAGACGTCGTTGCCACATAAAAAGCATGCTAGTGTTGGATGCCGGCCATGTCTGCTGTCAGGGATTTACTTTGTGCTGGGAGTTGGGTCATTTTGTGATACATTGCTTGACCGGCACGGGGTGGTGGGATTTATCATGATGGCACGGAAATAAAGTAAGGAGGCGGAGGAAATTGATTGATGGGTAAGAGCGCATTCTTAGCAACGAAATAACGGCTTTACTGGTCCAATCTTCTTTTCATTTCTGACGATTAATGATGTGTTGAACATGTTGATTGAGCAAGAGGGGGCTTGACGAAAGCAATATAGCTGTCCCAAAGCGTCTGAGTTCCGAAATATGGATATTGTAAAAGCTACAGGGTAGATTTGCTGCAAGCAATCCGTCGTTCTCCGGAGCTAAGAAGCACCACATTTCTGGACAATTCAGAGTTTTGACGGCGTCACCAAGAAGGATCGCCAATTAAGCAAGCGAGTGCGAGTCAAGAATGAGGGGAAAAGAAAGTCTGAGCTAGGTGCAGCTAAACAATTTGGTTACACCACTGGAATTGGAACAGGGTGTCGTGCATTGCTGTGTATGTGGTCTCGTCACCTTGTCACCGGTTCATGCACTGAGCTGTCTTGGCTATTTTCTCCTGTTTCTTATTCATCCACTTGAGACTGATAGTTAGCTTCCTGGCTCCAACGCATGTCCTTGTCAGAATTATGCGTTTCCACTGAATCACCCCGGGCATTGTTTCACTGGGCATGGGATTTGCCCGGATTTCGCGAATGCATGTGTAGCTGAATCTGACTTCCCCCGCAAAGTGTGGCGGCTTAGCTCGTGTGATTTACATCAACGGCTGGTTCGGTGAGGGAGGGATCGTCTGTGTTGCTTTCGGGACATGGTTGCGCTGCCGGGAGATGAGGAAACCTTGAAAATAAAACAAACTAGAGAGAGAAAGACGAAGAATAACACATAGATCGATCCAACATCCGAGAATAGGCATTATTCGATATCTATTTGTCGAATCGATAGTAGCCTCCGAACCAGATCTCGCTCATGGGCATCATCATCTTGCATCATTAGTTCGGCTAGAGAACGAGTCCAAGTTACACCTAGCGTCATCATACATCTACGATCGCTTATTCAGCGATTGTTCGGTCCAGGGAGAAAGAAACAGGGCGATACACATGCAAGCAGCTACGGTCACTCAGTGGAAGCTTCATTAATGTCAATTGAATGCTTCCAAAGAGATTCAATCGGACATTTGATCCTCAAAAAAGCCCGACGACATCATTAAGCGTTCTCGGCAACGAAATTTGAAGTGTTTCAGCTATTCGATTGCCCCCCGAGGACTGCCGTGGGGCCCAGCGAATTGGTAGCTGATTGCTTGGCTTTGGGGACTTCGTATTGAGTCGGGAGCAGCGCATGGTCTGAGCACTGGACTTGACTTGATCGGAGGAACTTTGCTGAAGAGCCCAAGCAGAGCAGAGCAAAAGAGAGAACAGACGAAAAGGGATTGAGGGTTAAGCTCGGGGACTCGGCTGCAACCATTCAATTCAGTTCGAAGGGAGGGCAAAGCGTCCAACAGAAGAAGCAAGTAGAAGCAGCAGCAGAAAGCAGCCCGACGAAAAAGCAAAAAAAAAACTGCCGAAGCGAACAGCAAGGGACAATTGGACCAAATCTCGCCAAACCGATTTCGCAGCATTGCAACCGATCCAGGCAGCCGAGTGCCGCTCTGCCGCATCAATCTTGTTGTTGTTGCCCGCCTCAGTTGCTGGGAAACAGCAGCTCAGCTCGAGCTCAAAGGCGGTACGTGCGCAGAGGAGCAAGTTCGGCCAGCTTGTCCAGTCGCATTCTGGTGATTTGCCCTCCAAAGCTCCATTGCATCAGACTCGACGACTACCTACGCAGCCCATTGACGCCCTGCTCCGCCAATTGCCGGCCCATCAGATCCAATTCTCTGCATTTCAATCCCGATTCCCTGCTCCAGCCAAATTGAACCTTGATCGGTACTTGCCTGCACAGACGCCAAAGCGCAGCACTCAACTGAACTGCTCTCAACTGCCTCGGCCCCTGAAGCAGCCACCAAGCAGCACCTTCTCCCCCGCCTAAATAGCACCATAAGCCAGCGCCCCAGGCTCTCCAGTTCTCCAGCCCGCCATCCTTCCAACGACGACACGCTACAAACTCCCCCAACTTTTCCCCCAGCGTGCTCCATCTTTTGCAATTGATACGAGGTACCTCCTAAGCTCAGCAGGTACTCACTCGTCACTCAGCTTAGATCGGCGCGAACGGAACGGAACCAAACCAAACCAGCTGCTCAGTTGAATCGAATTGAATCGAATCGAGCGCTTCCCCTCAACCCAATTGCTCGCTCTCCCCACGCCCTGTTTGCGGCCTGGTCTCACTATATTTTTTTTTTACACTTGTCTCAACCCCCCCGCGGCCATTGACCACTTCGAGCCTTATGCCTTCCTTCGGCTCATTCCTCAAGAAGAAGCGGACAAAGGAGGGCAGCTCTGACCCCTCAGCCAAAGCCAGCACCAGCACCAGTAACGGCAATAGCTTGAGCACTGCCAACCCCACCAGCCCCGTCGCACCCACGCCGGGCTCGAGGCACTTGGATTCGACACAGCCGCGAGTGACGCCCGGGTCGAGTACGAGTGCCACTGCAGGTCCAACTACAGCGACTGGCGCAGCTTCTACAGGCGACAGCAATCACTTCCCAGGTGCTCTAGGCACAGGTCCAGCGCCAGCTCCAGGCCCAGGCTCAAGCACCGTCGCCGTCTCGCCTGGCTCCATCTCGCCGTCCGCATCCACTCCCATTCCCGCCTCCGCACCCGCGTCCTCCACGCCAGCTCCTGCGCCGGGCTCGACTCTGACCTCGACAACTTCGTCTCTGCCAGCCTCAGATCAACAACAAGCGTCAACTTCCGCTCCCGCACCTGCCGCTGCCGCCGCGCGAGACCCGGCCACGGCCGCTCCTCCCACCGCTGCTCCTGACCCGGACCGCCAGCCAGCCATGAATCACGTCAACGTTCAGCCGCCTCACTCGTACGCGCCGGGCCACGACTCGCAGAACCTCCCCAGCATCAGCAACCTCATCAATTCGCCCCAGAATGACGGCTCGACCAACGGCTACCCCCCCTCGCCGTATCAGAACTCCGCTGCCGTAGGCTCCCAGATGGCCGACCAAAACGCCCAGCTGCAGCAACAGCAGCTCCTACAGCAGCAACAACAGCAGCAGCATTTGTCGTCGGAAATGCAGCTCGATCCTCCTCATCAGCAACAGCAACAGCAGCCGCAACAACAACAGCAGCAGCAGCCACCCCAACCCCAACCCCAGCAGCAGCAGCAACAACCCCAGCAGCATCACCAGATCCACCATGGCCACAGCGTATCGCTATCCCAGCCCCGCGTCACCAAGGGCAAGTATTCGCTCGGCGATTTTGAGATCCTGAGAACGCTCGGCACCGGTAGCTTCGGGCGCGTTCACCTGGTCCAGTCCAAGCACAACCAGCGCTTCTATGCCGTCAAAGTGCTCAAGAAGGCGCAGGTGGTCAAGATGAAGCAGGTCGAGCACACAAACGACGAGCGCCGCATGCTCAGCGACGTCAAGCACCCGTTCCTCATCACCCTGTGGGGTACCTTTCAGGACTGGAAGAATCTCTACATGGTCATGGACTTTGTCGAGGGCGGCGAGCTGTTTTCGCTGCTAAGAAAATCCGGGGTATGAAGATCCACCCCTGTCCACTGTTTTGCATGAGTGTTTTTTCTTCCTTTGTGTCAACTGTCTGCTTGGTTTGACTATGAGCTCTTTTTTGGCTAACTTGATGGGAAATTCCCCAATTACAGCGGTTTCCTAACCCGGTCGCTAAATTCTACGCTGCCGAGGCTACGTTGGCATTGGAATACCTGCATTCTAAAAACATCATCTACCGCGATTTGAAGCCCGAAAACTTGCTGCTGGATCGGCACGGACACCTGAAAATCACCGACTTTGGCTTCGCGAAGCGGGTGCCGGACAAGACATGGACGCTCTGCGGAACACCAGATTATTTGGCTCCTGAAGTAGTCTCTAACAAGGGCTACAACAAGTCTGTAGACTGGTAAGTCATTGTAACCTGGCGCTTGGATGGACGAAACTGATTGTGCCTGCCTAGGTGGTCCCTCGGAATTTTGATATACGAGATGCTTTGTGGATACACGCCGTTCTGGGACAGCGGTTCTCCCATGCGCATATACGAAAACATCCTCAAGGGCAAGGTCAAGTACCCGGCGTATATAAACCCGGATGCCCAGAACCTGCTCGAGCGGTTGATCACGGCAGACTTGACCAAGAGACTGGGCAATCTGTTTGGAGGCTCACAAGACGTCAGGAACCATCCGTGGTTTGCAGAAGTCACGTGGGACCGGTTGGCGCGCAAAGACATTGATGCTCCGTATACGCCGCCAGTCAAGGCTGGAGCCGGCGATGCCAGCCAGTTTGACCGATACCCCGAGGACCCTGAAAAGTACGGGGGTCCGGGCGGTCATGATGAGTGAGTGGTGCTCCTTTTTCCTTCTTCCATACATGTATTTGGAACGTTTGTGTGGCTAACAAGTTGGGTGTTTTTGCAGGTACGGCAATCTGTTTACTGAATTCTAAGGGATCAACATTCAATATCCAGGCATACACGAAAACGTTGACGACTTGATGAAGTGCGGCGATGGATGCGTGACCCAGGGGGAAAACAAAAGAGCAATGTCTGCTCTTTGACTGTTTTGTTTTTGGATGTAAAAGATGCGGGTTGATGGGCCATTTTAGTTGCGTCTCGATGATGGGCTCTGCATAGGAGATGGGTTTTCTTCTCTCTTTGGAAAGGGCGGTTTGATCGGTCTTGGGGGGCTCGTTTCGACCTGGAGTCTGTGTTGGAAAACGTGTATTCGGGGGAGGGAGGAGCTGTGTTTTGATGCTGCAACGCCAAAAACCGTCTCGCCCGGTAGCCAATTATACGACACACCTGTATATCCAGCTTTTCTTTTTCTTCTTGCTCTTCCTCTTCCTGTTTCTTGTTCTTTTTTTCATTCCTTTTCTTTTTTTGGGCTACGAGTGGGCGGGAAGAGGGGGTGAATGGGAGACACATTGTATACTTGGCCTGTCTCGGGGGTGAGAGTTGTCGCTGTCGAAGGAGCTGAGCCTGGGAGGGCGTACGTTCAATTGCTTGTGCTCCTCATTATACCTTGGTACTAGTAATACTACATACCTACTACTATACTTATCTATGATGGTGTGTTACCTGAGCATCTAGTAATAGCATGGAATAGGATTACTGTCACGCTTATGGTATACATGTCAAAAAGGTTAATGGTGGCCTCGAAATATCATAGACATGATGGAGTCTGACGCGTGCATACCATTCCAGGTAATGGAGCACACGTATATCCATGCTGTTGATAGTACAATGCATGCAGAGATTTTCCATGGGTCTGGGGCATTACATGACCGATTGGCTGCATTTGGCTATAGAATGACAGAGAACCCCCGGGAAAAAAGGAGCACGGAACGGAAAAGCTGAGGTGGTGCTGTTGATCGTGTGGCCTCGATGCTGATGCTCCGAGATGGCGGAGAAAGGCGGTGGAATAGATTAAAAGTCAGTGCTCCGTAATACCGAGTTGCATTCTGTAGCTTACTCGGCAATAGGTGAGTTGATGTTCAATGCACGTTGTTTTACCCTCCCCCTGTGCGGAGCCGCTAGGGGTGCTGCAGGTGGTGACATTGAGTGAGTGATCAATGCTCCAGTTCCAGCGGTCTACAGATGACTCCGTCGTGCTGTTGATTCCATGTTGTCTTAGTGTACAGTATCGCTCCATCTCCATCTCCATGTCTGCCACTTTCTCTCTATTTTTACAGGGGGGTTTGCTGGCCACTGAATTCGACTCGGTTCGCTGACGTGGGGTTCTTTTATGTGCCCGTTTATGATAATTGAGATTTCCCCCCCTGCTTGCATATTTTTTTTTTTTAGGGTAGCACGTCTTATGTGGATGCATGGAGGCTTTTCGGGGTGACCTTTTGCTTGCGTGGTTGCTGCTGCAGCCGAAGTCGCGAGGCTGGGGGGGGGGGGGGGGTTTGCCCGAAACAGTTTCTGGTCGTTTGTCTCTTTTCCTTCTTCTTCTTTCTTACTCTTCTTACCGTCTCTTTTTAACCTATTTTGATCGGTTACTTTGTATGGCTTGATTCCCCTTTAATCCTGCCCTGGGAAAGTGGGGAATTGATTCTGGGAATTATTCCACACTACATGATACTTTGATGGGGATTTTTAATTCTTTGTTATTTATTTCTTCGTTGTTGCATTGGGAGTGATTGATGAATCGGCTTGACTGTCCATTTGTCATTCTATAAGCGTGCGGCTGCTTCTTATTCGTTAGCGGAAGCGGCATAGCGAGCGTGACCTCCATTGTGTTTGGGCGGAGGCCTCGGCGATATAGCGCAGTTTGAACCCATCACGACAATTGCCCGCCATCACCATCTCGCGACGTTGGAATCTACCTGCCATTTACTCTAAGATTCGCTCGAGGTTTACGGCAAGGACTTTGCAAAGGGGGCCTTTTGAGGAGGCGATTGCGCGATTACCCGTTTTTGAAGGGCGTTGAAAAGCTGGGGGGCCCAAGATGGACGAGTACATGTTCAAGTTCTTTGTGGATGAGTGTCGCGTGGTAGAGGAGAAGACGAGCTATGTGGAGATTTTCAACTACACTGTGAGTATCTGAGAGGTCCATTTGGCTGTTTCCGAGGGGAGATGGCTTTTTTAGGGGGAATGAGGCGGTTGAGCTGATGCCGATGATAGGATCCGTTTTACAATTCGGTAGAGGAGCATCCGCTGCCCATGTCGGAGTTTGAGAACTTTCTGAATCGAAGGGTGAGTGCAGTGGCGGGTGCCGTCTTTTCTTTTATCCGATTGAGAGGCATTGATGGAGATGAAGATGCAGATGAGATGAGATGAAGATGAAGATGAGACGAAGTGAGATGGGATGAAGTTGAAGTGGATGGGATGGGATGGAAGCTTTGGGCGCTTGACAGTCACAGTGTGAGGCTGACATGAACATTTTACGATCAGGGCGCCTTTGAGCCGCCGCAGAAGATGCGCGAGGGCACAAAACTCTTGAGCGGCATTCGACTCATGTGAGTTTTTCTTTTTCTTTTTCTTCTTGATGTCTGATTGATTTGTTTATTCGCTTTTCAATATTTGAATTTGACCCTCCCCCTGCAGTCATGCCGACGCACTTTAACACTTGGACAAAGCACAAGATGCTAACGTTTGCACACCCAGTATCCAAAAAGATGCTCAGCACAAAGACACATTCATGCCAAGGATCATCTCCTTACCAAAGGACAAGTACATGACCATGGCCAGGACGCTCAAACTGCCATTCCGCGCCATAGAATCATCGTCTGTGGTCGGGCCCTTCTTTTGGTGCTCGTATGACCAGGACGATGAAGACCCGCATCTTCGTATGTGAAATATCCTTATGAACCATGAATAGTGACGGTAAAATGCCATTTATTTTCTTGTTCTAACCTCAGAAATACAGACATTGTACATCGCAAGTCAGATGTGCGCAAAAAGGGCAGAACCCGCGGCTGGGAAATGATTCTGTCTTACTCCTTCAGAACCGGCATCACCACGGGCTTCATCAAGGGCACGCCCAGCTCCGACATTGTCCAAGCGCTCAAACACCTGCGCGGGTGCTACAGCCAGGTCGGCCACCCGATGCTTCTCTCCACCATCATCCTCTCCCACGACCTCTCGCCCGCCAACGACGAGAAGCAGCGTGATGCGCGCGACTGGCTGCGCCGCCTGGAGAACGCAGTCAGCATGCGTGACGAAGTCGACACCGAGGAGCAGTACTTCCAGGACGGCATCCTTTCCGTGGACGGGCTGAACCGCGACTTGGTCGAGTGCCACAGCCACGTCATGTGGAAGCGGCCCCAGGCGTATTTCATGCTGGTTAGGGAGATGGAGCTGTGCATGGAACGCTTCAAGGTTTCCTGGCTGGATTGGAAGAAGGACTTCTTGAGCGATGAGGAGATTGCGCATAGGAAGACGATTGATCAGCTGCATAGGAGCATTCTTGCGCGGCTGGAGTTTTACAAGGTCAAGCTTAAGGGGCTGGAGAATTATATCCACACTACGCTGGAGAGGTTGAAGGTCCAGCGAGAAGCAGTAAGTTTTTTTTCTCTACTGGCATTCTTTTACTTTTCCTATACTAATCATGTCCTTCTTTTCTCTACTAGCTGTACAACATCATCTCTCAGCGAGAGGCCCGACTCAACCTCGAAATCGCCGGAGAGCAGCGCCGCATCGCACACGCAAGCAAGCGCGACAGCACCGCCATGAAGACAATCTCCCTCATGGGCGCCCTCTTCCTTCCCGGCACGTACCTCGCCTCCGTCTTCAGCATGACGTTTTTCAACTTCCAATCCGGCGCCGACCCGGTCATCTCCAACTGGCTCTGGGTCTACTTCATCATCACCATACCCCTGACCGTAATCATCGTCGGCTTCTGGCTGTGGTATGATCGACGCAGGGAAGCTCGTTACGCGAAGGAGGATAAGGAGCTTGATGGCGATATTGAGCAGATGGAGGCTCATATATTGAATTCTTTGCGTAAGAGGACGATGAGTAAAACGCATACTTGGAACAGTCGGAACAAAACGCTCAATTCTCCGTAGAGCGGTGATGATTACGGCATGACGACGGGGTTTCTTCTTTGGCGCTTTCTTCATGGAATGATGAAACGGTAACGATATTTATTTTCTTACGAATTTTACGAATGGCGGGCATATATTCTTTTGCTTGTTTCGGCGTGGATATACTACTCAGTTTCAGGGGGGTGGGCGAACATACGGCGGCAGATTGTGAACAAAGCTGTGGGTTGGCTTCATAGTTGGCAGAAAGGTAATACGTAAATAGCATAGCAAGCAACGATGCAAAATTGCAATAAACTTAATATATATATTATTGACACCACCAAAGTTTCCCCTAAAACAAGAACAACACTGGAGGCGGTATTTGAACGCTGGAGAGAAAAAAAAATAGGAATAGACATGAGATCTATGGTTCTAGGATATTAGAAGAAAAATATATATACTCCACCAAACCTAAGATGTATTAAGCACCACAGCTCCATGACAATGCGGTAATAAGGCATGTCATTCATACCCAAGATAGACCGATGGAACGTTAGATGGTGGTCAAGAGAAATTATGGAAAAAGAACAACAACAAGAGGCTTCTGAAATCAAATGCGGATATGGCTATCGCCACCACCACCTCCGAACCATCTCCTTATGTCGGTCCCGCTGTCATTGTTGTTGCTCCCACTGCCGGTGTTGGCTGGCTCGGCATCGTTTCCTCCCATCCACTTGGGTTTCTTGATGCCCTGTCCGAGATCTTGGAACCACTGCGGTGTCTCGAATGAGTCGACCGTATTCTTCATGCGATGTCCAAGGATCGTGAAGATGTTGTCATCCTCGGGCGGTTCGTCGGTGAAGCGGGGCTGTGTCTGGCCGAGTCTACGGTTGTTGCTGACAGGGGATCGCAGTGGTGATCTCGATGGCGTGGCAGCCGAATCTTGGATGGCGGGAATGGAGAGAATAGGAGCTGCCCGACTCGAAGCCCCATTGGCTGCGGCGCCGCTGCGTCGTTGGGTTGAGCCCCCTAATTCTCTAGCGATGAGATCACGGCCCTCGCGCCAATTACCAGTGCCGTAGCCCGTAGGATTATCTTCCTCGTCCTCGATAATGTCCACTCCTGTAAATATCCGCTTGACTTTGCCGTACAGTCCGAAAGTGGCAGCCAGGACAGGCACCACGAGGGCGATGGGGAAGAGATTGTCGAACCATTTCCCCAATGGAGTAACATCGACATACTGTCCAAGGAAGTTGTAGAAGATGGTCTTCTGGTAGACTTCGGCGGACAAGAAGGTGAGGAAATTGTATGAGAGCGGGACACTGAGCTTAGCCACTTGCCCTGCGAACCAGAACGCTGCTTCGTGTCCGGTGTTTCGCCTGACAAGAGCTCGTCCGCGCCATACCTTGATCCCGGTCATGGACGAGAGAGCTGCAGCGCACATGTAGCAAATCCAGAAAGCGGAAATGACCTGCCCCGCGAATCCGACCTGGGCCTTGTCGCCAACCCAGTGATGGATCACGCTGACACGAATGATGGACAGCTTAGGGAAGGCGAACTTGACAATTTCCGACCAGACAATGCAGGCAGACGCTAGAGCCAACAGCCCACCAAAGGCCATTCGAGTATAAGGAAGGACGTAATAATAGCAAACGAATCGAGAATACGGTGTGAGTATCTTTACCCGGTCCCAAAATTCGGCATGGGGGGAAACATTGCCAAAATCAAGTTTCTGGGAGGCGACCGAGTCCAGGATCGTTTGAAGGTTGGCAGCCTCTTGCACCAATCGATTCCACTCCCCAACATATTGCGATCGTGAGTGCCGTGCTCGTACGAGTTTTCGTGTCAAGTCGGCCAAATACTTTTCGGTAATGACATGCGGGACTGCTTGCGCAGGTGCCGTTGAGTCGAGAAGCCCTGATCGAGGCTGTGACTCGGGAATATTGGCAATCTCCTGAAGCTCTTCAATCCAATCCTGAAAGGCCGCGGCACTTCCGGTTTTCCGGCGGCCGAGCTCTGAAACCTGCTGCTCAACCTCCTCGACACCGGTGAGAGAGTCCTCCATCTTCTCATACACCCTAGGCGCCTGTATCTGTAATCGCCGTAGCCTGCCGCTAATGCTTCCGCTTCGGAGTAGGTGTCTTGGTATAGCAACAAGTCCGTGGCCCATAAGGTAGATGGCAAGAATGAGACCCCAACAGTAAGAAAGAGCCATGATGAGCGCTTTGAGAGCTTCAAAGGAGAACTCGTAGGAGGCGAATATGTAAACCAGGCCGATGATGCCGGCTCCCAGAATCATGGCATAGAATTGCGCGTTGGCTCGGAGAGAGTACATAAACTTGTCATAGGGCTCCCGGTAGCCAGTGTCGGAGTATTCGGCAAGGATGGGGAGGATGAACCTGCAAGAGATGAGTTAGAAACAGCGACAAGCATACGATCGAGTCTAGAATCTAGAGTCTCTCTCCTTACCATGTCAAGCAGAATGTCAACCAATATGTGATCCGCCACAGCACCAGGACCACGCGCTGAGGCAACCAGATGCCCCGCGAAGCCACATCGTCGGTGATGGCGCTCGAAGCAAGATCTATCGGAACCAGGAGAACGAGAATCGACGGTAGCCACAGGGCGAAGAAGATGGGGACGACGTAGAAGGCCGGCGTGGTTCGGAGAGGGAGGTAGTGGCGCAAGATGAGGAGGACTGCTAGCGACACCAGCAGCAGAGCGAAGGACGAGAAGACAAAAGAGCCAACTGGCGTTGGACTGCTCGCGATCTCAGGCATGGCGAAGAGGGGGTTCAGGGGTGAACGCCATATGCGCTCTCGTATGAAGGATGCTGCAAGACAAAGACGGCGACGCAGCTGCAGGGCGGTTCGACGCTGGAAGAAGCTTTGCTGCAAGGCACGTAAGACAATCAAGAAGCCGGCGCAGTGTTGGGTGGTTTTGTATGGACAAGTCCGGATTATGTCCACACAAGTTACGGGATGCTTTGGATGGGTTTCGCAGACCCACCAGGTGACTTGACTTTAGCATGCGTGACGTAACAAAAGGACGGTACTCAGGTACCTAGGTGCTGTACCTGGCGCTGGTTTCTGCCTTGGATATGAGGCACCAACGCAGCAGCAGCTGCAGCAGCTTAATTGAATCGCGTTACAAGGATGCTTGCAGACGCGCTCTGCTTTTAGTGCCAAAGGTCCGAATTGCAGCTGACCAGCCTCGTTGCGACAAACACGGCCTCATTCCTTTCTTTTCCTCTTTTCCTTTTTTGATTGGATGATTAGAGAGGCTCTCTATCTCTACAATCATATTTCTTCTGCGTAGTTCATCTACCTCACTGGACCTTTGAAACCTAGCGCCTCTTCTCTTCTTTTTTGACCATGGCTGGTCTTCCTGACCTCGAAGAGTGTAAGGGTCCATCTTGCTCTCAGCAAAACCTCTCTTTCTAACTTTTGCGAAACAGGGCTCCAAGATGCCAACGAGGCGCTCAATATCAGCCTCGTGGCGCCGTTGAAATCGGGCCTCAAGACCATTGCGGCGTTCAACCCAAAGTTCACGTATCCCATCTTTGGCGACGACGAGAAAATATTTGGTTACAAGGACCTGAAGATCCACCTGCGATATCGTGCCAATGATATGCGCCCGCACCTGCGGGTTGCCTATAGCAAAAAGTTCAAGCCCGTTGGCGAGCAAGAGCCCACCGATATTGTGGAAATTCTGGAAGAGGGAGGCCATCTGCCAAAAGGTTTGCGCTACTCGACGTTGGGATACTCTACCTTTAACCAGCAGTTGCTAACCTTAGTGTAGTTGCTTTCGTTAAGGGGTCAGACTTCGACAGCAGCTCGCAACAACTTGGCGATAACTGGTCTCCTCCTGGAACACTGCACGATACGTTCGAGGGTCCCGATGGCCAGTATGAGATCTGGAAAGGAAGTCTTGTCGACCCTGCCGTGAGACAGTTGAACAGCCGAATTCAAATCCTGGTTCCCTTATTCATCGAAGGAGGCAGCTACATTGGCTATGATCCAGAGTCGGACTCGACAGAGTTGGATTTATCAGACGCTGATCGATGGACCTTCTTCTTCCTCTATCGCAAGCAAAAGTCCGCTGATGACGCGGAAAAGAGCTCTTACACCTTTGCAGGTTACGCCACAGTTTACCGCTTCTTTTACTTCCCACCACTACCGACACCGCCAACCTCCCCAGCGGATACTTGGGAGCTACCCACTGGTGATATGGACCTGTCTCAGCTTCCGTGCAGAACGAGGCTCTCGCAGTTTATCATTCTCCCACCATTTCAGGGCAAGGGAAGTGGCGCGCGTCTATACAACACCGTCTTCAAGTACTACCACGACCACCCTCAGACACACGAGTTCACAGTTGAGAATCCCAATGAAGCTTTTGACGACTTGCGAGACAACTGTGACCTGGCTTTTTTGCGAAGCATGCCCGAATTCAGAGAGCTTCGCCTTGATACCAAGGTGACTGTCCCTAAATCAGGACCCCTGCCCCGACTTATCGCTGGAGGAGATGATCTCGAGAAGATTCGGCTGCAGGCCAAGATTGCGCCCCGACAGTTTTCCCGAGTTCTAGAAATGCACTTGATGTCTCAGCTTCCAAAATCAGTTCGTCCAACCATGTCACTGGACGACTATGTTCCGTCTCCTACAGCGGCGGACAAGCATAAAGAAAAGCTGTGGCAGCTCATTGTTAAGCAGCGATTATATCGCCATAACAAAGAAGTCCTTTCCCAGATAGATGTTGGCGAAAGGATCGAGAAACTGTCAGAAACGCTAGGAAGCGTTGAGTTAGAGTATGCTAGGATATTGGCAGCCCATGATCGTGCCATGAAGCATTCGACCTCATCGAATGGAAAGCGGAAACCGAGTGAGGCTTTGGCCGAGGCAACGTCCAGCAAGAAGGCCAGAGTGGAGGACGCGTGAAAGGGAAGACTGCGGCATATCAAGATTGAGCTTGATAGCAGACGGTTGACAAGGTAAATTAATAGCAGGCGTTGGGGGAAAATCTTGATACGATGCTTTAGGAGAAAAACAATGACTCTATGTATTCTATTGTATAACTGGGCAACCCGAGCAAGCAAGACATGCTAAATGCTCCCTCTTCATTAAAACAATCATTAAATGGAAAAACACCTGTACCTCCTCAGACCAAATACCTACTCATCGTAGTGTTGATGAACGTCATTCCTGGGGGCTACTGCAGCAACCTGAATGTTCTTACCAAGCTGGCTGGCAACCAAGCTGGCCTCCCGCACGGCCTTGGAAATGGTTCCACGCACACGCTCCTCTTCCAGTACGAGAACGCCGCTGACGGTGCAGCCTCCAGGGGTGCACACCTTCTCGCGGAGAAGAGCCGGGTGCTCTCCGCTCTGAATAAGACCAGTCGTTCCTCGCATGGTCTGAGTTGCCATCCTAGTTGCTTCGGCACGGGGGAGACCCATGGCGACGGCTCCCTCAATGGCAGCCTCAAGGAACAGAGAGTAAAACGCAGGCCCGGAGCCGCAGAGGGCCGTTGAAGCGTTCATGTAGCGGGCAGGCAGGTAGACGACATCGCCGACGCGCTTGAAGATCCAGGTGACCAGCAGCTCCGTCTCCAGGGGCAGGGGGGGCTCGGTAGCGCTGATGACGGTCATGGACTCTCTGATGAGGGCGGCCGTGTTGCACATGGCCCGGACGATCCTGCAGCGGCCGTCCTCCTCGGGGTCCTTTGACGGGACGGCGCCGTGCAGGGCGATTTCCAGCTGCTCGACGGTGATTCCCGCGCAGACGCTGATGAGGAGCTTGCCGTGCAGGGCCTTTGCCATTCCCGGGGCGCCGAGGATCTCCTTGACCATGAAGGGCTTGCAGGTCAGCAGGATGACCTGGGACTGCTGGACGGCGGCGAGGTTGTCGTTGCGGACGACCTTGAGGATGGACGAGTGCTCCCACAGCGCGCTCTTGACCTTTTTCGCGGTTTCTGGGGTCCGCACGCAGGCGATGAAGCGAGACGGCAGAGAGCGAGGGACTTCCTCTGAGGGCGTGGAGGCGCCAGATTGTAGTGGCTTGGGGCCTTGCATCTCGACCAGGGAGGTGAGGATGCCGTTGAGGATGGCAATTCCCATGGTGCCTATAAAGAAAAATGCATCTCGTATGAGCCCAGGAAAATGGTCAAACGATGCCTTGAAGCGATGATGCGAGGCTTCAATTTTTATTTCTTTTTCTTAAGACTTACCGCAGCCCAAGACCGCCATGGTCAGGTCCTGAGGCGGCTGGGGCATGCTGTGATGCGTGAGAGCCAGCATGTTGGACATTTTGTCTGTTTGGTTTTGGGTTTGGTTTTGGTCTTCCAGGAGTAAGAGTTTACTAGCACTAGCGGTGACAGGTGGCCGAAAGAAAAAGAACAACGAAAAGAAGGGTCGCGAGAGAAGAGAAAGAGTCCTGGTCACCCAAGTCGTTGCCAGGGTGGCAGGTTTATTTTTTTAAATGGAAAAAAAGGGATGAGAGAAAAACTGGTCAAGTTAGATTTTATTTCACATCTCAAGATGGTCCAAGTTTAAATAAGAAAAAACGACGAGCGAGAGCCCATCCCGAAAACAGTGCCATTTTGGCCCCCTCCCCCCTTTTTAAACGGTTGTCTCCGTAACGATTGCTGCCCAGCGGGATCGTCAAAATGGGACAAATAGGAAGCAGAAAAAAAAAAGGGAACAAGGATCTTTCTTGGTGTGTGTGTGTGAACACGGCGGCCTACGGAAGTGTTGGGCTCCCTGGATTTGGCTGACCGACTCAGTTGAGCTGAATGGGAGGGAGGGCATGAATTAATGGCTCAGCCGACGATGTTTCATCGCTGCGAAGCTCACGCCTGAGCTTTTTGCCCCGGACTTTTTCGCCCTCGCCGCCACTAGGATGGGCGATGATTGACGGGCACTACTGTACTACTAATCTTGATGCTATGGAGAGTCGATAATACTGATCGATTATGGAGTTTATACTATTATTATTATTACAAGACAGAATGGAACGAACGTGTGTCTGTTTTCAAGAATTTATTTCAGGACTTTTACTTCGAGCACGGACTGCCTATTATGGGCGCCACATGTGGCTAGTACCGTGCACCCACTGTAAGCTACAGGTAGACCAGGATGAAGTCGCTGTGCTCTGCTGGAGAATAATACAAGCACTTGAAGCAATGCCATTATTTTCTCTGTTCGCCTCTTTTTTGTCCGTGACTATTGGGTTAAGCAGGTCTCCTTTACTGAGTGAGGTAAAGACCCGGCGCTAAGTTACTTGAAGATGAGTTCAGAACTTCTCGCCAAAGTACGTACAAGGGGTGTTGGTGGTGATATATTACATGATGGAAATGTACAGGTGTTGTTAATGCCGGGCTTCAAGTCAGCTAAATTACCTTCAAATAAGTCTTTATCAAACAATGTTGGCAACCGTTTCAGCGGGAGCTTTCTTCTGCTCCTCCAAGTTACCCGCCAATCCTCTTTCACCACTCTCTGACTCTCTCCATCTTCTCATCATCTCAGAATCTCTCACCTTCTGCAGCTCGTCTGCAGCCATATCAACAAGCTCATGGGGACGTTTTCCGGAGTAGCACACGTAGATCGCCACTATACCCGACACCACGAGTCCAAGACAGATACCCTTGAATATCCAGGACGCCAGAAAGCCGAAAAGTATCGCGAGTGGCCCAAAGACTGCGGCGAGTAAGATTGAGAATGGAGCGAGAGCCCGTATGATTGCAGCGCGGAGAGGATACGTGTTGGATGGCGATGAAGAACGCGGCTCTGGTGAGAAGCTGGCTCTGATTGTCGACGTGTGGTTCCCCTTCATCGTCAGAGACAAAAGCGCATTATCTCCGTGTCCTTGATCATTAAGCAATATATCGAACTTTGCCACATCTTCCGCTTCCTGTGTCGACCATACTAGTCTGAGTGGAACAGTCGCATACTCTTGGTGAATCTGCCAGAAGAGTAAGAGTGCATCTGCCTCTGGGAAATATGGCAAGTTCGCGCCATCCGTGTCACCCGCTCGTGCGGTCGCAGATACTTCCTCCGTGTGTCCGTTGCCCTCAGCCGATGCATGGCGGAATATCTCTATAGGCTTTTCCAACCCCGAGACGGCAAGGGTGCGGCTGGAGATGTTGAGCTGATAGTCAAGCGCAAAGCCCTGTCGGGAACCATCGGGCACCTCTGCGTATTTCCTGTAATGATGACAAGGTTAGCTTTTTGGTCTTCATTCGCCTCATTTGCATGTCCTTACCAGTATACTCGACGCAGTATCTTGCCACCGAGGAGCGTCTTGGTTGCGTAGTCGGCGCCGTTGTTAATGTCTTGTCCACCGGAAGGGAAGGGAAGAAGTGCCCAGAGCAGGGCCAGAAGCAACCAAGCACTGAGGATCGACAAGAACAGCCGCCAGACGATACGGCACAATTTCCAGGGGCCCATCATGATGTGTGAAAGGGCTCTGCCGTCTGCTGAGTGGCGAGATTGTATAACTCGCACACGGGGCGATTGACTTCAGGGACAATTTCACGATGTTGAGAAAATACTTGAGCAAGAACCTTCTTACAGGTTTGATGCTTGTATCATATGAATAACATTATTTCTTTTCGCCTCAGATATTGTCGTGCGGAGAGTCGAGGATTTAATCATAAGATAGTATCCAGGCAGAAGCCGGGCGGCTGAAGCATTATATTGTCGGCGGCTTAGCAAGCATCTCGTATCAGGGTTATTTCTGGCCGAGTTAATAGGGCGGGTTCTAGTTACTTTCCGGGTGCGCAAACATGATAAATCGCACTATGCACAGCCACACCTCATCTTGAACATCATTTCCGATCACTTGTATGCAAAGTATGGAGCACATTAGGCTCGCGTGTGTTTGAGCTCAGGGGCTTCCCGGCATGGCTGAACCGTTGGAAACGTCAGTCCCAGCTGCGACTTCGGGCCCATCGCCTAGATCGGGGGCCATGCAGCGTCCCGGCTCTTTCCCGTGGGTTGCATGGCATTGCGGGCAAATTAAAAGCTCCAGTCCAGTCCAGTCCAGTCCAGTCCAGGCCAGTCGAATAATAGCCCCGGAGTGGCACAGCACAATAGCATCAATATAGAGCATCAAAGCCCGGAGCAGTGATACGGAGCACGACCTGCAAGCCGATCCAGACTAGCGCTGTGGCTGGCTCACTCACCGAGGACCCGGGTTTAGCTGGACAAGCCACACTGAGGCGCACCCTGGACTCCATCTCTCAGCCTTGCGCTCGCACTGCAGCAATTCAATTCAGACTCGACAAAGCCGTGCCCAAATCCTGCAGACGGAGGATTCACTCGGAAAATGGCGGATCCTTTCGAGGTCCGCATGCGCTTCAGCTCACAGCTGCAGCATCTCAACGCATCCGTTGCTTCGGCGCAAAAAGCAGCCCAATATGCGCTCAAATACAAGGACATGGATGAGGACCTGCACTCATGTATCCTGGAGCAAGTAGAGCGGGTGAGTTTGAGTTGGTGGTGATGAACTTTGACGAGTTTTAATTCTGCCTTTTCCCTTTCAACGCTGACCATGTATCACATAAAAGAATAACATGAATACACGTGCCAATATCATGTATTTTATTGAGCACTTCCTCGACTTGGCTCAGCGGGATGGCCACTCGGATTATATCCGCATGATGCAGCGTGATATCATCAGAGTTGTCGATGCTGTGGCCCCCGATGATGGCTCTGGAGCCGCCAATGTCAAAGTTGTCCGCAAGGCATGTGCATTCCTCTTCTCAGCAACCATCCTTTTGTCTTTTTGATGCCCTCGACTAACTCTGCGTCAACAGGTTTTGATAGGCCTTCAGAACAAGGGCTTTCTGGAAGACCAAGCGGTCACGCAGATTGAGGACGTCATCAAGGAACGCGGTACTAATGATGACGATTTGGGCCTTGCATCTCCCAACAGCGACGTTGACATGACAGACGCTCCTGCTTCCGAGTCAAAATCTCGGCGGCGACCCGCGACCCATGGCTTGGATAAGCGTCAAGTAGAGCAGCGGATCGAGGAGGATCGAGAACGACATAAGCGCGAGCGCGAGAGGATCTGGGCTGTCCCCAAGGGAGAGGACGCCGAGATGAACAAACTGTGGGAGGAAACGAGCGACTTTGGCGATGACGACGACCGCCTGCTGACCGAAGAGGGTGACGATTTCACCAAGGAGATGGAGATACAGCAGTGTCATCACCAACCACCGACGAATGGCAACGGCCATTGAATTTTTGTCCTGTTAGTTGGCTACTGCATTGGGCGGCGTTGTGTGTTTCAGTGTACACATTGAGGTTATGAAAATTATATGCATGGAGTTGAGAGATACCCCAGAGAATTTCTGTACTATTCATGGACCTGGGAAAATACATTTGCAATTGGGAAACAGGCCTCCGCAAACACTGAGAATGGTTTTGGCCCATATCATGCAAAGGGAAAATAGAAAAAAGAATTCTCTTCTTTGAATATATAATACACAATATTTTGTTGTACATGTACCTCGACCATCTATCGTGTCATAAAGATCATGCAAATATCCTCCCGATATTTTCTTTGCTTTTTCGTTTCCTTTACTCCATCACGACCACCGCACCAAGCTCCTTCATGGTAGCAATGATCTTCTCTGCGTCCTCCTTGGGCACGTTCTCCTTCATCATCTTGGGCGCGCTCTCAACAAACTTCTTGCTGTCGACCAGACTCAGGCCCAGCATACCCTTGACCTCCTTGATGATCTTGGCCTTGGCGGTGGCATCGATTGACTGCAGCTTCAGTGTGAAGAGAGTCTTCTCGGCGGGGGCAGCAGGGGCCTCCTCGGCTTCCTCAGCAGCAGCAGCGGGGGCGGCAGCGGCAGGGGCAGCAGCGAAGCCACCGATGGGCATGTCGGGAATGTTCAGCGTGCTCTATTAAAAAAATCCCATGTTAGTCGAGTGTTTGGTGGCATGACAGACTTTGGTCAGCCACTTGTGTGCTTTGCTAGTCATTTACTTTTAGGCTTGAGACGAGATCGGCAGTCTCCAGCAGCGTGAGCTTGCTGATCTGGTCGACAATGTCGGCAATCTTGGGGTTTACGGCGGCGGCTTCGGTTGAGTTGTACCGTCTCGTTGTGCATGACACTCGGAGCATTTGTGCGGAGGATCGGGGAGAGGCGGCTGATCGCAACTGGCGAGCGCAGCTGCGCGCAGCGAACCGACACGGAGTGGCCATTGCTATGGTTTGGGAGGAATCGGCGGCGGTGGGCAATTCGCAATTGACGATTTCGTGGGGTTAATCACTCGAACCGCTTTGGCTGTCGTGCGATGGCCTGTCATGAAGTTTTTCGAAAGCTTCAAGTTTGCTGGTCTGGGTGGGCTCTGATTGGTCCGGAAATTCGTAGCCCCGAGTGCCCCTCCTTCCCGCACCCTTGTTCCCGACTAGGAAAAAAAAAAGTTGGCGGGTGCTCTCATATCCATCGATAAGAAAAAAAAAAAAAGTTTAGAAACGCGACAGCAGCATAGAGGAGAGGTGAAAATTCGTTCGACATAGAGCACAATCATGGCCATGATTGATGTCTCTCGGCAGAGGAGGTCGCTCCTGAAGGATGCGGCTGCATTGGACCATCTGCCCGCTGAATTACTTGAAATTATCAAGCATCAGTCGTCGACGAAGCTCTTTGATGCTGTATCAGAAGCCGCGCTCATACCATCACTTACAGAGAGAATCTTTGTGCATTTCGAAGATGTGTTTTCAGACATTTGCGCACGATGGATTCTCAACGCCGGCAACGGACCACGAAGGTTATTAATTGCGTCAGCTATTGCCAGGATTTTACCATTTGCGCCGTATCTCTCGACTTTTCTTCAATGTTCCGCCAGAGCTGGAGAGGAAGCGGCGCAGGGACCTTCGCTTCACTTGGTGCTGCCGACCCTTGATGGAGTGGCCTTGGGGTTGGATGCAGATGCATTGCTGCAGGCTTTATTAACATACTGGCGACTTTTCAGCTTCGATCTGAGAACTTTCAGCTCATTAATTCCACCCGAGTACCTGCAGAGCTTGTTTGCGCATGAGAGCCGGGCAGTGAGATATCTTGCGATTCGAATCTTCTGCCAGCTGTTCCACGCCTCCGATTTCAAGCTTGAATCGCTTATCGAAACACACGTCGGCAGTGCGAATACCATCACTGCTGATTTCGACGGTGCATCGGTGGATTATGGATTTCTGTCACTGCATGAGCAAGCACGTGCCAAGAGAATCATCGCATTGCAGCAACAGGTGAAGCGATACGCTCAAGACTCCGAAGATGATTGCCAGCCTTTACTCCAGTCTCTCACCCAGCATGCGGTTTCTTATGGCAAAATTGTTCTCCCGCGACCACTCGTACCGACTGGAGGCCCATCGGATCTTGTTATGACTGCGACAACTACTAATAATCTCGAACGGTTCGCTGCCATGATCCGCAATCCCGAACCCATCCTTCTTCATGGCCTGCCGGGTGTTGGAAAGACGGCACTTGTCCACGAAATGGCCAAGCAACTCGGAATGTACTCCGGCATGGTTACGCTGCACTTGAACGAGCAAACAGACGCAAAGATGCTGATAGGCCTGTACTCGACGGACTCAAAACCGGGCAGCTTTTCGTGGCGTCCGGGTGTACTAACCACAGCCATCAAGGAAGGCAGATGGGTGTTAGTGGAGGATCTCGACCGAGCCCCTACCGAAGTTCTCAGCACTTTCCTCCCTCTGATTGAGCGAAACGAACTGTTGATCCCGAGCCGAGGAGAGAGGATAAAGGCTGCGAATAGCTTCCGTCTTTTTGCGACTGTGAGGACATCAATGGGTATGAATGGACGCGAAAATCTGCCCAGCATTGTCGGCATGCGATTCTGGCAATCCCTGTATACAGAACCCATGATTCAACCAGAATTGGAGGAAGTAGTTTTGCAGACGCATCCTATTCTGCACAAGTTTCTTCCCGGAATAATCGCTGTCTATGGCCGTCTGACCCAAGTCAGCGGCGGATCTCGGTCATTATCCCGCGGACGAGCACTTATGGATCGACAAATGAACCTCAGAGATTTGTTAAAGTGGTGCCGGCGACTACAGGAGTGCCTGCTGGCTGCAGGCTCAACAACTGGAGACGAACCAATAACCGAGACCACGCGAGACTGGATGTTCATGGAAGCGGTCGACTGTTTTGTGGGAAGCTGTCCAGATGATGAGCTTGGCAAACAACTCATATATGCCATTGCGGAAGAGATGCATTTGTCCAAAGAACGGGCAGACCATTATTTGACTGCCAATATACCCCCTTTGGAAGAGAATGACGTTCACTTCAGCATTGGGCGAGTCCAGCTGCGGAAAAAGAAGACTGTGAACCGGCTGCAAAAGTCAAAACGACCCTTTGCAAGCACTTCGCATGCCAAGAAGCTCTTGGAACAGATCGCTGTAGCTGTCAAGCTCAACGAACCGGTGCTTCTTGTCGGAGAGACAGGTATAGGAAAAACGACAGTCGTTCAGCAGTTGGCTGAGTCGCTTGGCCATAAACTTATCGCTGTCAATCTTTCACAGCAGAGCGAGGTGGGCGACCTTTTGGGTGGCTTCAAGCCCGTCAACGTCCGAAGTCTTGCGGTGCCCCTGAAAGAGGAATTCGAAGATCTTTTTTCAGCAACGGGTATATCTGCGTCCAAAAACCAAAAATATCTTGAGCAGGTCGGAAAGTGCTTTGCCAAAGGACAGTGGTCAAGACTATCCAAATTGTGGAGAGAGGCTCCCAAAATGTTTCTCAAAATTGTGTCTGAGTTGGAGCGGGCTCACTCAGAGAAGGCCGAGGCGAGAAACGGAGATGATTCCCAACCCACAAAGAGACGGAAGACCCAGTCCAAGCTGCAAACACTACTGGAACTCAAGCCTAGATGGGATCAGTTTGCCCGCACTCTCGAGCAATTTGATATACAAATTTCAGGTGGAAACACCTTTGCATTCTCATTCGTGGAAGGAAATTTGGTAAAGGCTGTCAGAAATGGCGACTGGGTTCTTTTGGACGAAATCAACCTAGCCTCACCAGACACTCTTGAGAGCATTACAGATCTCTTGACCGGACCTAACGAGAGACCTTCCATCCTTCTCTCTGAAACGGGAGAGATTGAAAAGATTGTGGCACATCCAAACTTTCGCATATTTGGTGCAATGAATCCAGCGACCGATATTGGAAAAAGAGATTTGCCTATTGGTATTCGATCGAGGTTCACTGAGCTTTATGTGAAAAGCCCCGATAAGGACTTGAAGGATCTCCTTACCATTATCAAGACATATTTAGGCAATGGCAGCAACAAGAATGACCAAGTGGGAGATGATATCGCACGCCTGTATCTCAACACGAAGCGAATGGCAGAGGAGAAGCGTTTGGTAGACGGAGCGAACGAAGTTCCTCACTTCAGTCTCCGTACGCTAACTCGAGTGCTGAGCTACGTCAATATGATAGCCCCCTTTTATGGTTTAAGACGAGCAATGTATGAGGGATTCTCCATGGGTTTCTTGACATTACTGGACCGAAATTCGGAGAAGATGCTTCTGCCGCTTATTTATCACCACCTTCTGGACAAGCATGGAAATCCGCAGTCATTACTATCCCAGCCTCCAAGGCAACCGGGCGACGGTAGACAGTATGTCAAGTTTCAAAACCAGAGCCGGGATCGACATTACTGGCTCTTCCAAGGCGAGCAGACACCTATCGAGAGAGACGATTACATCATTACTCCTTACGTGGAGAGAAATCTTCTCAATCTCGTCCGAGCAACTTCTACTAGGCGTTTCCCTATCCTGATTCAAGGACCTACATCGGCCGGTAAAACTAGTATGATTGAGTATTTGGCAAACTTCACCGGAAATAAATTCGTCCGAATCAACAACCACGAACACACTGATCTTCAAGAATATCTGGGCACTTACATTTCGGGGGCAGATGGCAAATTGCGCTTCCAAGAGGGCCTTCTCGTTCAGGCCATGCGACAGGGACACTGGATCGTTCTTGATGAGTTGAACTTGGCACCGACTGATGTACTTGAGGCCCTCAATCGTCTACTTGATGATAACCGCGAGCTGTTAATTCCTGAGACGCAGGAGGTTGTTAAGCCCCACGAGAACTTCATTCTATTTGCTACCCAGAACCCCCCTGGTCTTTATGGAGGCAGAAAAGTGCTATCTAGGGCGTTCCGAAATCGATTCCTCGAACTTCATTTCGATGACATTCCCGAA